GTCAATATGTCACCGTGCCGCTCCATTCTGCAGTTTCACAGCTAAGTCAGTCAGCCAGTCGGCTCCGGCCTCAAGAAATTCGTCGGGGCCGAGAGATCCGAACAGCCACACCGATCTAGAGGAGCTCTGGAGCTGAAAGCTCTCATTACCGCCGGACGGTATTTCGGATCTTCTAGTAAGGAGTCCCAGCCCGACGGGTGAATGGAAACGTCGAGGGCTTGTTCGACGGTTCGCTCAAGCGATGATTCGGTGAATGACTATGGCGTATCGATGAGTGTAGTCAGACATTGTTTTGCGGTGCCTCGATCCCGAACCATCGTGCCTCACACTTCGATCGCTAGCAGGCGACCGTCTTACCGATTTTTTCCCTGGGAGCGATAGTTGAAATTATTGATATAGCTACATCGATTTCTATTTTTCAGCAATACAGGTTGACATGCGTAAGTCCGGCGGAAGTTCGCCCTATTGTCATCACGATGCACCGCCCCGCGCCCAAGTTCAAAGCATGACTCCCTTACTCGGAATCGTCGAGGCTTTCCTATGACTCCCACCAGAAAATCGCTACCGTGCCTAATGCACTTCCAAGAGCAGAAAAGCGCTCCACTCCGAAGATGAGCAGCTTTTTCAGACGAATATTACATCATATGACGGTGCATGTAGGAAGCTCAGCTGTGACTAAGTGTTTGAGTTCATCGTCGCGCTTTCTAGGAGACAGCCCTGACGACATGTTCAAAATCACAATGCGGACACACATAGCCGCGTAAAGAGGCACAACTGCGGTGACGGGCCGCGTTGTGTCACGTTTTTGTTCAGCCCAACTCAATAGTCGGCGAGTGTAGAATTCAAGAGGAGTATTTTGCGCTTTGGTGACCGATTTCGTCGCGAACAAATGTAATGAGTGTCTCCGACCCCCTAAAGATATTGTTTGGAATCGCACTTCCGACTTTGCGGAAATTTACCATCATTCAGACGAGTGGTCTGACCACCGACGCGGTCTCAGTCGAGTGAGGAATGCTCATGTACCGTCCCTTAAACATCCGATCGGAGTTGCGCGCTTTACGCCGATGCCAAGGGATCTGTCAACGATTCCTCTTGTGAGACAAAAGTCATCACTCAGAACGTACGGCGCTCACCTTCTCTCGATGCGATTATCCGTAAGCGACAGCGTTTTTTTTGTAAGAAAACATTGCAAAACTCTGCTCCTTACCTTGACTGGGCCTGTGTAGTCGCTCACGAAGCGAAACCGACAGCCCGCGTATGGAAGCTTCTCGTACAGCTCCATTGCACGCGCCACACCGAGAATCATCAGATATATGGAACGAGCAGGTGCGCATAGGAACTTATTGATATTCGGGTCAACAGCATCCAGGGCTGGAGCGATGTTCTGAGCGAACCAGCACTCACCGGGACATGCACCGGGAGACGGCTCCGCGGAAATCAGAAACTCCAGGCGCTCGCTCGCGCCGATATTCTGTACGACCTCTAGACTAACATGATGGAGGAGTTCTATGTGAGACGGACCGTTCTCCCTCGGTCATGGCTCGGAGCAGCTGGAGCGCGTTCGAATCAAAATCAATGAAATCCGAAAGCTCCCGACGATCTGAGGTAGAAGTCCTCGCCGAAGAGGGGGGAATATCACGGAGACTCTATGACAGCGTTCGGTGACAGTTCTAGGTATTCGGTAGACGTGAAGACTTCCGCCGACGCTTCCGCAGGCTACTCCGTGTTATCCGACACCACTGACGTCGCCGGCGAGACGGGCTAGCGACAACATCGCGCGGAGGGTTATGGAGGAAAAATAAATTCATGTACGCCTCTCCAAAAGTTTCTCGTCGCTCGGATATCCTAATGCAGCCGGGTGGGCCAGAATCTCTCGGAGCAGAATCTGTACCGATGTCTGTCTCGACGACATCGGGTAAACTAGCCCCGAGACGACGCATTCTCTGCCTGACCTCAAAACGATTTTCGGTATCTACCGGGGTAACTCAATCTTCATCACGATGATCCGTCTCGAGGAAAACAGTCGTTTCCAGACGGGTTCGTCTCGAGCCAATTTGACCGAAAACAAGCATCACCATCAATTCGATTATAAATAGTAGTTCCTCATGGCATGGCGACAAGCGAGGAGTGTCGGAATGCCGTCTCGGATACGGTGGAGCCAGCGCTTAGGATGCGAGGTCACGGACTCTCCGTGAATGAGCTTCATTGATGCGCGCAGATGTCGAAGCCAGAGTGTTCGACGATAGGGTTGGGAGCAGTCAATATCTGCGCAAAGATGGGAACAGTGGTATCGAAGAATTTCCGTGCGAAGGACAGTGACTTTTTCATCATCGAACATTTAAAGACAGCCCCGATTCGTTCTTTCTTTCTGGTGGAAATGTCAACTCCAGAAAATAACTTGAACGTAAAATCTATGTACGAGTTCCCGCGGATCACAGAATTTTCAAGCCTCCATTCTAGGATGCCGTCGTAATTTATGCATCTCCCATGTATGCGCGGATACGCGTTTCCGATACGACTCCTCAAGAAGCTGAGAGAATCAAGATGTCGCTGTCCGATAAAATTTTCGCTCCCTAGCAGATATGTCAGACATCGTTGAGCACTATTTGATCAGGACACGAGCCAGGGAGAGAGTTAGGCTCCTGAGTCATCGTGGGGTTTGGGAACGGAGCGGTCATAAACTCTGAGACCGCTGCTGCTGCTGCCAGGTAGGAAAGTAAAGGCAAGGAGGAGCTCCCCGTTGTTCTCCCTTGCGAGCGGACGAACGAGCTTTATGCCGCGAGTAAAACTCCGAGGCGGGACAGGATTTCTCGAACCAAGGAGCTCCCAGCACAGAAGAGCCAGGCAGGGCCAGAACCCAAGGGATGGAGCCACGTCGTCACCGATTATTTCAAACTCTGAATTCAACCGAGAGATACCCACGTTTGACGAAGAGCCATCCTTCGACGCGAAATTTTTCCTGCACTTGTTCGGGACTGATTCGTCCGTCTTCGTCCTCTTGTTTTGGCACACCAGGAGTCATTTCGAACATTCACTGTGTACGCATTGACTTTGAGGGATGTTCTTCTTATCCAACTGAACGCATCCCCGTCAGCACGCGCGCTTGCCACTATAGTTTATCCAATGGAATTAATTCAGGGGAGAGTTTTCATCGAGTTCCACTGGAAACTCGGTACGCGCCAATCCACTTTCACACCCTTGCCTCGCGACTGCTTTTCCGTCGAACGAAACCGAAACTGACTTCGCACTCGTCGTCGCGTGCTCGTGGGAGAAGGATACTGACTGGGAAAGGCTGTCTACAAAGGAGGAGGGAAGCGCCGAGCAAGAGAGGAACTTCCATGCGAGACACACGGAGCACCATCCCACACATCGCAATGCGGAGCGACGCGTGTCGGATCGCCCGGGAGCACAACGACCCGCTCTATCAAGAGCTTCGCTAATCCCGTGTTCGGACCCGAACCGTTCCAATTAGCATTTAGGTACGAAAACAGCGGAGCGATGCGGTAGTTAAGCGAGGATGCCAGATACGGATGATTAGATCGGTTTATTGGAAGCATGGGTATTTGACCAATCTCATGAACCCGAGAAAATCCAAACCAAAATTTCTCCTCATCTACAGGGAGGCAATCATATTCTATCACACATCGCGCTCCCTGGTATAGAGATGATGTGGTCGGTGCCACGTCGCGTCGAGAGGAAACAGATGGGGCGCTTTTGGACAGGCGATGTCACCCTGAAGGGGCAGTCGTAGGGGGAGGGGGATGGGCGCTCTCCGATGGGAGAGATATCTGGGGCTGCATGGTCATTCCGTCACTGGTTCTGATCGGAGTCATCCTTGAGGGGGATCGTGGAAGCTATTTTGACCCGCGTCACTCGAGCGGCGACCTCCTAGGCGAACCCAGTGACAACGGACTCATCAGGTCAAGTGTCAGGGGCTGCATCGACGGATCCCAAGGGACACTGTACGGAAGGAGCAGCTGAGGGCGACTCTTCGGTGAAGGGAAATTCAAGCTCTCGAGCTCCGCTTCCTACCTTTCCATGACACCGGAGGGTCACGCGACGCGCCCCGCAGGTCTTTCGCGCGAAAAAATCTTCATTTAAGAAAAATATATCTCCAGGTACTATAAGGTGTTGAGAACACTGTAAGCAGTGTCCGAAACAGCCATCCGCTGAAAATACTCCGATAGTGACTGAATGGAGCTCCGTACAAGTCTAGGGTTCCCTTCCTCAACATGATTTTTCGCCCTGGGCCGCGGTCCACTGAAAGGCGTGAAATTTTAAGCAAGAAAAAGACCGCTCCGTTGGGACGCAACCGTGTAGCCGACATCTGCTTCGGAGCAAGATCTTCTGTGAGTACTGAAGGTGTGATAATCAGGGTCGAGAATTATGATTCCGTGACTTCCCGTATTGCGATTCGGATTGACTCCAGGAGTCGTATCCTCTCGGGATGAATCTTGAACGGTCATTGGGGAGGGAAATTCGCCAGAGACAATTCCTAGCGCGTATCTCAGCAGAGCGGGCTGGACCCTCTGTACTTATTGTGGAGTGAGTGTCAGCCTCATGGGGGAACTGACCTCCGGTTCCGCATTCCAGTCTCGAACACGAATACCCCTCTCTCAACGTCTTCAGATTCGTCCACAGAATCCTCCGGCTAGCTGCGATAACTCCTAATGTTCAGCTTTCTGTATGGGTTGCCCCCGCTCCCCCAGACAAGCTCCGACTTCTCCGGAAATTTCTCCGCCCCTGTCCTGCATCCTTGAGAGATCTCATCGTGATCCGAGCGTCAGCCCTCTAATTCGGAGTTGATTTCTCTCGGGGAAAAAGTTTCCTCCTTGCGTCCACTCAAGATCTTCTCCTAAAAGTTAGAGCTCTCCTCGAATTTCCGCCAAAGTTTTCCGCAATGTCGAGTATATCTGTAGGGTATCCGAAGTATTTCTCAATTTGAAGGGAGGAAGCTGCTTTCACAACAGCCCCAGAATATAGAACCGATCTCCAATGTTGTATAAGCTTTATTTACTCCGATAATACGGAAATATGTAGATGGTAGCAAAATTGACCATTCAAAATAGGGACTACCCTCCCTGTAGCTGAAATGAGACAGGGTCGTGGTTCTAAGTAAATATTCCCCGGACTATGCGATTTGGACGTAGAATATAGATGTCCACATTCTGATCAATGAGATCGGAATCCTCCAGTTGTCTTCAGTTCGTTTTCGCCCTTTTCTTGTCGTTTTCCTCAGCATTGAAAGGCGACAAGGCTCTCACGCAAGAGTTGGTCGAATGTTCGGCGAACAGCGAAGTCAATAAAGCTACTCCGTAGCCAGTCGCTCTCTCGTTCTGGAAGATAATTTGTGTATGAGGAGAGCTCAAGGCGGTCGGCGATGATATTCGAAACACGGAGTCAGACAGAGGATAGAAAAGCCTGATCCGGTTTAGTCCGGATGCCAGGAACTTACGCTAGCGACAGGATATGCCATGTCAACATGAATCCAGTCCCCATCGAAGTCGAAACCGAGATGGCTTTGGATGAAGAGAGCGGCGCAGGAAATCTGAGCGTTTCCTCGGTCAGCGACAGAGTTCTTCATGTCAGCGATGGACGACGAGAACTCCTTGAAGTGCAATTCCGGGGAATACGGACAGGGGAAGGTGAGGTCACCACTGAGCCGTCCCGCCACAGCAGACGCGTCCTCCCATTTCCTAGCGAAAGCGAGAAGAGAATTCATTGATTGCTGGAAATTTCGAGGAGCTACTGATATCATCAACGAAGGATGGGTTTCCCAGAGGAATTCGTTCTTTCCTTTACCCGGAATTGGTCACGATAGCCGCGTGATATTTCCCCGTGCCGATCCCCTGAGCTCCCGTCAGGGTGGCCATGTCCAGGATGGTCTTCGCGCCCAAGTCCCTGCTCGCGAAAACCACACCGTCCGCCAGAACCAATCGTCCTTCAGCATCGGTATTGTTCACTTCGACCGATTTGCCTGAGTACATCCGAATGACATCGTCGGGACGGATAGCCAAAGGTCCGATGGCATTTTCTGCCAAGCAGAAGACGGCGTGGAGATTCTGCTTGAAGCCGCATGTGACGGCGGTCTTGAAGGCTCCCAGGATTCCAGCAGCTCCGCCGCAATCCCTCTTCATGCCGATCATGTTCGTTCGAGCTTTCAGGGACAAGCCTCCGGTGTCGTATACGATGCCCTTGCCTACCCAAGCGACGGTTTGGGTCGCACCCTCTGGGGTGTGGGAGAGCACGGCCAGAGCCGGGAGCGAGGTAGCGGCTCTGCCAACGCTCCAAATTCCTCCGATGCCCCTCTTGAGCAATTCTTCCCCACGGATAATGTTCGGCTTTATGTTGAGGGAAGCTCCGACAGCTTCGATCTCCCTAAGGAAAGCGCAGACATTCATCTCTTCACACGGTGTGTCCACGATCCTCGCAGCGAGTCTGACGCTCTCGATTGCTGCGTTGAAGGCGACAAGATCCTCGTCGCAAATACTAGATCCATCAGTGAGAACGAATTCCAGATGGATCTTGCGATCAGCTTTCGGCAGTTTCTCACCGTCGGCCGAATCACCAGACTTTTTGTTGTATAGGGGGAAACATCGAGCCACTGCGCAGGCACTCGCGAACGCATCTTGTTTCTCGCAAACGATCTGTATAGAAGGGTAAAATGGTGAGCGCAAGTCGAAAAGGGAGACAACGGAAGGGTCCCAGAGACTCATCGGTGGAGAATGTGAGCAGTTCGGAGTCCAGACCCGATCCTTCTGACCCTATCTGGGGCAGAGAGTCCCCGGTGAGCGGGGCAGGGGCGATACTGATACTGATAGTAAGACGAATATTCACCACAAAAGCTTCGTCGCTGCTGAGATTGCTCCTCGAGACCGCCTTGCTGAGAGCGTGGGCTTGAGTTGGAGTGTTGTGACGCGAGCATTTGCTCGGCAATTGGACTATCGACGCCAGGTGCAGATAGAGAGGAACGGTATTTACGCTTCCGTCGGAAGCGAAAACGTCGAGAGCGTTCTTAAAATGTTCCGGCGTGACTCTGGAATAAGGAGAACCCATCGGATGTCGACCTCAAAAACGGCTTCTGAAATGACCATTCAGAAGTTTCGCCCTTCGCTTCCCCCTCGATCTATCCATACTCACTGCGGCGACAACTTGCAAGAGACTGCCTCGAAGGATAGTTTCGCGAGGTTCTTCGATTGTCCGATGATTGTCACCGGGAGCTGTAAGAGCTCAGATTTGGTCGGTGTTGCGGACACCACGATCTGGGACGCCATCTTGTTCCGCCTGGAATCAAAAGACTGAACTGCTATCGAATGAAATTGAAAGGGGAGTGAAACTCTTCGGAGAACTTTTCCAGGTGCCAGAATCAGCGACGCACACAGATACAAGGGGTCGTTCACCAAGGCGATCTTCTCTTCGGACTCCAGATGCCTACGGGTCTCAGAGAGCTCCGATTCTTGACATGGCAATCGAACGACTGCCCGCTCTGGCATTGATCTCGATTCCTCAGAAATTTGACCTTCTGCTGGGATGATAGCTCAATGCGGCGTCGAGGAGGGGAGACCGCTGTGTGCAGCGGGGTCAACAGACGCGCGAGTGATGATCATATCGGAGCCATGAGATCCCCGTGAGGAAAATACTATAGTGCTCGGACCGTGGATTAGAGGCGGATCGTGGGTCAGGTTACCCGTGCCGCCGGGTGGAATCCCAGAACGACCACGGTATTTTGAGCCCAGATCGGCTGGCCGTCGATTGAAACGACTCCCTGGATCAGATCTGGCCTCTCCGCCCGAATACTCAAGAACCATCTACTAGAGCCATGACGATGTATTGACCTATTGATGGAATTGTTCAAAATTTTATTGCATCACTGAATTAGGACCCCAGAGAATATCCATTTCATACTTGATCTCGATTCTCGATGTCGTGCAATTCCGAACGAGTTTCTATTCACAGATTTCCCCAGTCGTTTTTGGGGAGACGTACTACCGCGTTGAGACAAGCAGGAGCCATCGTAAAAAATAAACATTCCGAACAATCCTCCATAAGTTCCGGCTTCTCTGAGGGCCTATTTGAACTTCATGAGGGCGTAGATTACAAGGAACACGAATATAGAGAACAGAAGAAGCCAGCAGATATATTTATGGTGTCCGGCACGGTGGAGTCCGAGAACTCGTCCCATGGCACCGCGCAGAATCCCCTCAGAAGAATCCATGTCGTCATTGAAGCTCCGCAGATATCTGTTATGTTCCTTGACTTCTTGGCCAATATCGATAGAAACCGCTTTGAGACTGGAAATCTTGTCGCGGAGGTCGTCAACTAATGCCTCCGATTCATCCTCGATTTCGTGACGTCTCCGAGTAGACATCGTTGCTGCAACGGTTTGTATTATCGTGAGCTTCCATTGTGTCAAAAACAGCGCTTAGGGCATTCGGGCGTAAACTCGTCCGCTATTAATGTCAACTTCTTCTTCGAAATCCCGTCTGGACGATGCTTCAAAGGAAGCGGTCGTCCGCCTCGAGGAACATAGCGGCCTTGCTTCGACTTCGCGACGCTGCGAAACAATTTCACCCCACGCGATCAAGCGCACAGCTCACATTCATACAAACCGGCAGACAACATCGATCTCTTTCGTTCCACGCGAAAAATTTAATTTTCCTCCTACGGTCTCGATAGCTAGGGGTATGAGTTTCCCAAGCCCGTCATGGGACCCCCGCAAGTCTCAAATCGGGCGAAAAGCAAGACCTGGCCGAGAATCACGGGAGTATTTGTTGGAATTTGCCTAGCGGATTGAACCGTCGGAGGTTTTTTTGACTAATGAACTCCACACCCTTCACACCCGCGAGACCTCTCACCATGATGGGATCACTCAAGAACTCTCTCACAGGACGAATATAATCAGGAAGTCGATAGTTACCAATCAAAAAGAGACCGGGTTTGAATACGCAGAACGAGAGGCGACGCCGTTCTCAGAGAACGATACGTTGCGGTACTCTATCCAGGTTTCTTCAGTGAATCCACCCGGCTGACGACGCGTCCGGGAGATCTCCTGATGACGGTGGTGGTGGTGCCGCAGCTGTCGCTGCCGCTACCAGAGTGATCTGCTTGGTGCTTTCGAATGAGGGGCCACGCGTCCATCACAGAGGAGCGCGGCAAAGTCGAATTTCCCGTCGTCTGCTCCACAGCGAACTCCCTTCAAAGCACAGAGTCATGGAATTCGGAGAACCTCAAGGTCGTTCGTGAAGCTCGATCGGACCCCCTATCGAGATTTCAGACTTTCATTGCGTAAGCATGTCCATCACAGGCCTGAAGAGCCGCGGAAGAAAAATTTTCATGTCAGAATGACCAGAATTCCATGAATTTCCATTTGTGAATGAGGACCCGGATGATTTCGTCTTTCAGTATTCGAGCGCAGAAGTAGCGAGCGCTGTCCGCGAGCGCTCCTGAGCTGTGGATATATACACCCGATTCCGTACAGAATCCCCAGTGGATACCGCTCTTCGGAATCCACTGTTCACGAATGTTCAGCATCCAAATTTCCATTCAGAAAACCAAGGCAAGGGGGCCGCACTCTGGTCGAAGGCTCGAACCGAATAAGGGAGGACGCGATTCGCAAAAACCGGAGATAAGTCGCGCGAGAGGCGAGACGGAAGGGACATACGCTTGGGTGGTGCGTAGGCTGCGTGGAATGGGCCGCCGCGAAAAAATGGAGAGTAGCACGAGGTGGTGTTTCGGAGGTATTTTCAGACCGCGGAACCACTCCTCGATGGAAGGAAATGTATCCCCGCAAGCAATCACGGTGCTTGGTTAGGGGAATGGAATTTTCAGTCCGCCGGAATGAAGAATTTATGCTCTTTGCTCTCGTCACCCTTCCACAGATGCCTTCTTCATCGTTTACTCAACTTTTTCTCCGAGAGCATGGAGAACATTTTTTCATTTTCAGCGTTTTTCTCCTCGTCAGCTCAATGTCGGCTAAACTTTTGCTCGGAACTCGGAACAACATGTGGATCGCCTCCGTATCTGTTACTAGATCTTGCTACCCGTGCTTTGCCACGGGGAATAGATAGGAAGATGATGAGAATCGATTTCCGAGTGATTTCGATTTCCAAAATGAAGTCGGCGATGTGAGTGAATCGCTCTTTCAAATGAATGCAGCTCTCCGACCGTAATTTGCATTGATTCAGTCTCAGGAATCGCAGAGGTTCTCCTTCTCGTTTGGCGTAGCAATCTACGATGAACTGGTCAAAAAGCTGACGGCACCTGAGGAGATAGTTTTCTTGATCGTCTTGCGCCGTTATTTTGTACGCATGCAAAATGCCATCGATAAGATCTCTTCTGTCGACTCTCGAGGTTTCCGGGTGTCGGGATTAATGAGCTGTAGTTCGAGATAATAGCCATCCTCGCCCCGGGGGAAGAGAATGGGGTATTGAAGCGCGTCGTATGATCGATGAGTCTCTGCGATCCGTTTCAGCTTATCATCAAGTTTATGCAGCAGGATGTCTCGCGAACCACCCACTTCGGCAGAAATCACCTCTGGCACCTCATCGATAACTGGTGCGTTGAAGCGCCTTTCATACTCTCCAGGCGGTCGTCTATCAGTTCTAATAATCGATTCGAATTCATCATTGAGCACCCTATCTGAAGAGATTCTGAATTCTTGGATCGGGACGTTATGTCGCGTCAGACATCGCTGGAGTATACTGACGATACTCTCCCGTAATTTTGGATTTAGGGAACAACGTTCCTTGACTTGGACGCCTTCATCCCCCATGAAATAGATTTGCAAGGACTTCGGTTTCGTATCTGGAGGTTAGAGCAGAGAACCGATTTCATGATAAACTTGCCCTCGGATCTTGAATGTAGTCGGCATAAAGGGCTAAGGCCAGCTGATAAGCCTGCCGAACTCATCGAATTCAGACATGAGGTTTCGGCTTCATGCCCTTGAGAGACCCCTGCTTCTCGTGCACATCAATGCAGGAAGCTTGAGTCGAAGCCTTCGCTCGGGCTCTACCAGCAGAACTCCCGGTCTAGATATCCCGGCTGGCAGCAGGGATTTGGTTAGGAAAGGTGGAGTGCGCAGATACAAAATGACGCTTGCCGCTTGCACGGCGATCATAATTATCTAATGCGTGGCACTAGGGGAAATATATTCTATTCAGCGTCCAGCTGTCAATCACAGCCATTCGAGCAAGTTTTGGAGTTACGGAACCATATCTCTAGACTGAGCGTTAGCTGATTCCTTTGCTTGCCTGCTCCTCGTTTCGAGTATTCACCCCCTTGGGCTTTGAAGCTCGGACCTGGGGTCGCAATACTCGGAAAGTGCAAGTCAGATCCTTCGCCACGACCATGACGGCTGCTGCATTATCGAATTCATTGCAATAGTTCGGCGCCGAGAATATTGTCACCAGCGATCGATCCGAGAAGAACTCGAAGCCGTCAGCAACCACTTGATGGGCACGGCAGACGAGATCCAAATTATTCTTGATGAGGAATTGCCGGAGCTGAAATACGGACAACCAACAACTAGGAGCTCGGGGGTCCCATCCCTCTGATCAGGGAAATACGCGCCGGGTTTCCAGCATTCAAGACGGAGGGAGGGCTCACCACGTCGGCTCCGAAGAGGAATGAGACACCTCGATCATTTCGCTTGAAACCTTCGCCGCCAAAAGGGTCCGCCCACAAGAGGTCGCAAGCCAGCCCGGAGTCCGGAATGTCCCTCAATGGTCGCTGTATGTCACGAACATCGTCCACAGAGCTGAGACGAGGGGAAATCCCTCCATGACAGCAGAAGATCTTGTCTCCGACCACCGCAGCGAGGGGCATCCAAGCGAAAAGCTCATTGAATTTGTGATAGATCTCGAGCGAGTACCTGCAGTAGCTTCATAATTGACCGGGGGCTTTCGGAACATCGGACCACCAATGACCTCAGAGCGTATAGGAGCGAGCAGTGCACTTGGCCCTCGGATCGATAAGTTGTGGGGTTTCTGCGGGGCGGGAGCGCTCACCTGAGTCGACACTCTGTCAAGAATCCGTAAATGGCATTTACCCGCAAAGTTTCGTGATTTCCTCGGAGCATGAAGACATTTCCAGGAAAACGAATCTTATATATCAGTAGCAAACAGAGTACTTCCACCGAGTTCCGACCGCGATCGACGTAGTCTCCCAGGAAAAGATAGTTCGACTCCGGCGGATGTTTGCCCTGATTCAGTATCCGTAGCAGATCGTGGTACTGACCGTGCACGTCACCGCAAATGTTCAGTGGCGTGTTGAGTTCGAGGAGTATAGGCTGTTCTTCGAATATTCCGCGGGCGTTTTCTATCAATTCAACAATTTCGTTATTCCCTATTTTCACGCTCGGGCCCTTCGATTTCCGTGCTTTCAGGAGTCGCTGAAGTAAATCTTCAGTGTCGATTGTTTCTGTTTCTGTCATTTCATCCCTTCGTTGTCGAACCAGTGTTGGGGGAATTCGTGGTTCACTAGTAGGTAGTCTTTCGAATCTCTCAATGTCCCCAACGGGCTGGGGGTCAGCACAGTGAGTTCCGACTGCGATCGGAAGGGCTCAGGTCCCGGCAGCCGCAAGCGTAGAGATATCCTCCTCAAGAATTAGGAGGATCGTAGACTTGGATCGAATGCTATCCGCGGGAACGGAAGCTCGTAGATCGGTATATATTTGGCTCCGGAGACGTTTTTGCATCGCAGAAGATTGTTTCTCGATGAAGAGAATTCTGATGGAATCAATGTTCTCGACCGAACTCGAGCTCGGGGCTCCCTTTCACTCATCTGCTCCTGAACAGTCCTCGGCGGAAAATTATTGATCCATCGATGGAATAAATCATGGATTCCATCGCTCAATGAGAAGACCGATGGACTCCGAGATCTATGAGTATGGAACGTACTAGAAAAATCAGCACTCGGGAAATATACGCCGGAACAGCGTCTTCAAACAGCGATCACAGCCCACGGCTTATTGCCAAGGAGTACAACTAGCGATTTCCGCGACACAGGAATAGTCAGAGCCTCCGCGTGTCGTACGGAAAAGCATCCACCGCATGAGAGACTCGTGAAACGCGTGAATCTTAATTTTCTCGCAGAAGCACCGGAGAGCGGGATTCACTGGGAATTCTGTACGGAATCTATACTAATGATGTGCGACCACCCTCTGCTGTGAACGCGATTCAATTCGACACCGCTCCACCGATAAGAATTTTTATTTCGAAGAAGCCTTTCGGAATATACTATTGGACTATTGAAGTTCGGGAGAAACTTCATTGTTGAGAGGGTCAGGGCAACAATCACGTACGTAAAGTACTTATCGAGAGAGTGCGTTGCACCGAGACCGGTCCAACCACATGCGACGGGGAGCAACGGATGTATTGGTGAAGTTTCATCTGGATCAGTCGCGTGTAGACGAATCCAACCGCGTTCAAAGAGGAGGGGGACGCGCCGTATTAAGATGGAAGATGAAAGATAGACATCTTTCGGGAAATCACGCTCCGGGACGGGTCTCGGGCTCCACGCAACGCTGTATTGAAGATGATTCACTTCGATAGCGGATTGGGGAAGCGAGACAGGGATGGCGTTTTTTGAAAACTTTTCCTCGAGTCCCCCGATTTCTCAACGTTACGGAGACCTCAGCTAGAACACCCATTCCGAAGCTCTTTCGACCATTGGGATTTATTATGTACACGTCCGTGCGAAATCATCAAGTCGCCCCAGCCCGATATCCTGGTGCAAGTCTTTCCGTCATAGAATATCCCATTTTTCTTCGAAAGCACTACAGATCTTCGAGCAGGCCAGCGCGCCTGACAGGGGATAATTTGAAATCGAGAAAGTGCCTTCAATATAGTCCACGTCGACCGAGCCGTGTGCCATTGCACCGATAACCAGAACTGTAGGCTCCTCTACGTCTGTCACGAGCTCCCTCGGATGTACGACCTAGAAAGGACAACCGGCTGTAGACGATACCAAAAACTCTGACTCAAAGAATCGCATATCAGTTCGTTGGATATACGGTACTCGGGATCTGAGTATAATATGGGGAATGCGCTCACCTTGGAGGCGTGAAAAGACATAGCGAGTTTCCTACATCCGACGGGCAGGTGATCCGATATAGGGTTTTTTATAATTTTCATGAGCTTCACCGTGGAGTCGGCAGCCCGTACGCTCATTTTGTTCAAGAGCTGTACCATGAGACCAGCGAAACGCTTGAACGTTCTCGGTATTCGAGTTTGAGGATTGATTTCGATCAAGGCGTTTTTCGACGAGTGAACGTAAACTTGGAGGAGCCCCGCGCGATTAAGGGGCGAATCGAAGAGCATCAGCAGACACTGGTGCGTGATGTCCGGCCGAGCGTGGGCCGGGTCCTTGCCATGTTTCCTCATTTGTTTGATGTGATCATCGCAGTTGAGAAGCTCGAACCGATCGTTCACTTTGATGACCTGAATGCAGCCGGCTTAGACGGAGGAAAATCGAATGAATCATGAAGCGAAATGTTCCTCGGTCTCCGCTTACCTCTAAATTGGCCCCCTCTAAGACGACTATCAATCGCTTCTCCTGTTTCTTCAAATGTGAAATCTGCTTGGGAATTTTCGCTGCTTCATCATTGTCCTCCTTATCGATGAACTTCGCGAATTTGCGTTTCTGAGCCATTCCCGCAAACTTTTCCGGCTGTCATCAAACGGGCATTTTTCGAATGTCGGCGCACGTGCTCTTTCTGTTTACTGCGCTCGTGAGAGCGCGCGGCCATCTCTCACATCCCCATGTTTACAAACAGAATGAACGAATTCGAGAGAGGATCGTAAGTTGATATCTCGTATGCGAATCGAGCTCTAGTCCTCTGAATACTCTGACCATGCCCTCTCGGTATTGAACTTCCCCGGAAAAAAAGTTTGGTTCCGCTAGGGAGTTTCTTGGGTCAATGTCGCCCTCGTTCCGCGGTCGACTCCTCACCGCAATTTCTTTTGCGCATGCGGTCATCCAACACGGACTTTCACGACGGCAACAATCGACTTGTGTGCTGGTGTATTGGCATCGAATTCGTCACCGACGATGAGGACTCATCTTTGGCTAGAAGTCGAGCCTGCTTGAGGGGCTTTTCGCCTCCAAAACCTCCCATGTTGATAAAGTTTGAAAGCGGCAATCAGCACCTCTTTGCGCGAAGTTCTGGCGGCTGAGCGCTGTGAGCTCAAGCCTTCGTGGATTACAGACCAGAGCCAGACCGGAAATCCACCAGAGCATGCTGCTTGTTTCCGGGAGGGTTCCCGTTAGTCGGCCTCAATCATGATCAGGGTAATACACATAGTGAGCTCGGGACTCCACCGGTATGGTGCCTGATCGAACAGGCCACCCCGCCTCCCATTGTCTCAAGAAAGAAGCTGGCCCAGCTATGAAGCGGGGATCGTGGAATTGAGCTCGCCTCAGATTTGATTCAGTCTTGCGTTCCCATGAGGGAAGCAGAGGTGGTCCGTGGTCCCAAGTTTTCAAAAAATCGCGCCGATTGCAGCCGGTCGAAAGCGCCACCTGGTGGTCATCAACCCAGTTGACCTTCACGTATTTTCCGAAATCGGGCCCTAAATGAGTGTTTGAAGCACACTGAAGACTTATATAACTATTCAAAACCGCGAACTGAGCTCTCGATTCCAAAGCCGAGTTAAAATTACAACCAGAATCGAATTTTCGAAAATTTAATGCAGAGACGGCTGAGGTCTCCGGTAGCTAGGCCTAACATGCAGCAAGCACCGTGTGGGGAATGGCTCGTAGCTGAAAGTTGAATTTTTTTTCGGAACTTCTCCAAATTCCAAGGTAAGAGTGAACTCTGGGGGCCATGATGCAAGCTCAGGAGCGTTGTACGCGGCGTTTTGATACCCCGTCCGAGGCGCTATGTTCGTCACAAGGGGGCAGCACATTCTGGTGGTTCGGAAAATCGACGCTAGGGTGATGCTAACGTAGGATATGAACGGATGCTGCCTGCGATGCTAGCGACGCTCGGTCACACTACAAAACGAAACCGACCGACCGAACTTGGTGCCATTACGGTGGAGGGGGAGCCGGTGGCATTAACTAGCCGCATACGGAACATTCTCAAATTCACCGAAAGCGTCCTCCACTGCGGCGGTCCTCGACCGACCGTTCTTCCAGACGAACACATCACTAAGCTTGGGAGGCGTCGCGTATTCCATGGCTTTCCGCATTCGCGGATCTGTTGGACCTCCAGGGGGACTCCGTACCGAGGAAAAGTATTGATTCGATAGATGAAGTCAGGCGTTCCTCGAAGACTTGATTCGAGCAACGGAATCGTCGAACACTCAGGACGGGCGAAGCCGCTCGTGTGTCCCCTCCCTCGAATCCGGTGCGTCTTCAGCAAGGGATCGCGCACTACAGTGATGGAGGGAAACTCAGACAAGTCCTCACGAAATGCGTGCGATAAGTTTCTTCGCACGCGAGCGATATCCGGCTCGCAATGGCGGTTCCCATCCCGCAGACTCCCGCTTGTGAGAGCTGGCTGCCTTGCAGCCCACATGTGAAGTCGCGCCGAGTTCCCGGCTTCGATACACATTTGATTCCGTATTCAGTCGAGCGCAATCATTTGACACCACACGATCGTGACAGTTTATCATAATGTAGGAGCACGGATTCGCACGTTCATCCCACGGTTTAGCGCTCATCGAAACGATTTGAGAACTCGGACCCAGGGTTCCGCCAGGGAGTTCCTTTCTCCGGACTCACGGCATTGTACGCTCGGAGTTGCCTGATCGTTCTCACTGCTGTCTTCCGATCAGGGAATTTCACGCGGGTTCGCGAAACTCGAAATCTCGTGCTTTTCGACGGGGAGGAGCTTCTCTGTCGGCTTCCCAGCTTCAAAAATAAATCCCGAGCTCAGAGTATGCGGTTCTAGACGGAACTCTGCAGACTGCGAAGCGCTCATGGTTTCCCTGATACCGGCCCCGCGAGAAGTTTGCGGGCTCGGCTATGCGGAATTGAGGAGAGCTCTCGCATATTTGGGTCAATAAAGTCCACAGAAGTTCCTCAGAAGTTCGATGTCTTCTGAAATTAATCATGAGCTCCACGCCGCGATCACCCTTGCTGCGCGATTCCCCGATCATGGCGAAGCGGGGCGATATTGTTGCTCTAATGGAACCCGGCGTTCCTGATCGCTCCTTGAGCTGCATGCAGCGGTCTACCGCAAGAAATGTTCGGCGAGGTTGCTGGTCGTGTCTCGCCAGGCCCAAAGACCGCGAAACGCGATCTCGACGCTGCCCCGGGCTTCGGAGTATTTGCGAAACGACGCAGCCCCTGAGATCCCGTCGGAGGCACCTCAAACATAGAGAGAAGGGCAAACCCGTTCTGGTTGTATCGGGTTTCCGAGCTGGAAACTTCAAACTACGTGAACCGAGCGGTGCACCGCGAAATCCCATTGCGGCACTCGGAAGCGCCGATTGCGACTCGGGCCGGGGGAAACCGGGTCCCGACTAGCCGTTTTTCGATCCTCCGAGACTTACTGATGATTTCATTATTCCTCATCGCGGATATCCCTCCGCTTGGCCATATCTTTCGATTTCTTCTTATTTCCTCTATATCTCCACAGGAATTTCAAAGCCCCTCGAACCTCAGGCCCGCTTTGCCGAGACTGTTCGAATCCTAATCCAATATGAGTGCGGGACAGGTGGAAGTCATCGAAGCCGGGGAGCAGGGCCAACTGATCGTTGCCGACAACTCTTCCGAGCACAATGGTGAGCCCAATCGCGACTATTCATAAGCTTGCTGTTACTTCCTATCCGGGAAATCTCCGGACGCTGGAGGGTTTCCCCATATCCATATCGCCTGACCCATCGAAATCGATACGAGAACTCGGTAGACGGAGTGTGGATCCTGATTCTCATCCTGATAATGATTCCAGACATCCAGAACTACTTGGCTTCGTTCAATAAGGAAATAGCCGATCAACCGGCAGTGGTCCGAGGAGGTGCTACATTAACGACAGTCGCCGGTCAGGCTGCACAGGCTCAGATAACTCATGCCAGCGCGTCTGACGGCTCTCCCGCCTACTTCGTAACCCAAACCGCTGATGGCCAACTACAGTACACGCCAGCATCCACCGGAGGTGAGAATTCCAGAATTTCGGACCGAGTCGAGCGAAGGATAGCCATGCGCGGGACGAGTAGTGGTCGAGCCTGCTGGGAATTGGCGAGGACTGGAACTTATCCAAATCCGATCTCTTTCAGGCACCTACTACACGACAGCCGAAGGAACAACCTATTACACCACCGACCCGAATGCGGCCGAGGCCGGACCTATCGTGCTGGTTGATGGCAGTCAACTTCAGGTGTCCGGAGTCAATGTCGCTGGCACTGTCGGTCAAGTTGGTATTGCGCAGTCTGATACTAGAGAGCAGCAACAAATCGCTCTCGCTCTCCAGAGTCAGACTGCCGAGGCCATTCTCAAGGCAGCTAGTCAGGGACAACTTATCACTACCCAGCAAGCCGGTCAGGCCGGCCAAGGGACCCCATACCAAACAGTCACCATCATGCCAACGGATAACAATCCGGGTGAAGTGTCCTATGTCTTGATCATGTCGCAGGAGCCCACACCTACGGGAACCACGACTACCACCCTCCAACCAATGACGCAGGTCACCCTGAAAAAAGATCCTCAGGATATTTCTGTCTACGAGTTCGATGAGGGCAAGCAGCAGACCCAAGTTGTCGCGACCCGCCAACCCGAAGAAAAAGCTCGATCTGTGAAAGTTGTCTCTAAGAAAGTTGTTCAGACCATAACTCAAGCCCACATGTGCAGCTTTTGCAACTACACGTCTCCGAAGAGATATCTCTTGAGCCGTCACATGAAGAGTCATTCAGAAGACAGACCTCACAAATGTTCGGTGTGCGAGAGAGGTTTCAAAACGTTGGCGTCGCTCCAGAATCACGTAAATACCCACACCGGAACTAGGCCCCATCAATGTAAAGAATGCGATGCGTCGTTCACGACGAGCGGTGAACTCGTCCGTCATGTGAGGTGAGTCCTAGACGACAACGTCGCGCTCCCCGAGAGCTTTTTCCCCCCTGGAGGTTGACCATCGTTCCTTATTCCTTTCCTCCGCAGGTACAAACACACTCACGAGAAGCCTCATCGATGTACCGAATGCGACTACGCATCCGTGGAGCTCTCCAAACTCAAGCGGCACATGAGGTGCCATACGGGCGAGCGACCGTACCAGTGTCCGCACTGTACTTACGCCTCCCCGGATACCTACAAACTTCAGAGACATCTGCGGATACACACGGGCGAGAAGCCCTATGAATGCGATATCTGCCATGCCCGGTTCACTCAATCGAACTCGCTGCGGGCTCACAAGCTGATTCATACGGGCCAGAAACCCGTCTTCCAATGTGAGCTCTGTCCGGCTACCTGTGGCCGAAAAACGGATCTACGCATTCACGTGCAGAAATTGCACACGTCCGACCGACCACTGAAATGCAAGCGGTGTGGGAAAAGCTTCCCCGACAGGTGAATACGAGAACAAAGAAGACGCTATACAAAACGCATGATTATAATCGAAAATTCCGTTTTCGAAAAATTTTCCTGTAATCGGAAGACCGACCCGCTGACAAGATCCATCCCCTCTTCCCCCAGATACACGTACCGAGTCCACGCGAAGAGCCACGAAGGAGAAAAGTGTTTCAAATGCGACCTATGCAGCTACGCGTCGATCTCGCAACGTCATCTGGAGTCGCATATGCTTATCCATTCGGACCAGAAACCTTTCCAATGCGACGAATGCGACCAAGCCTTCCGGCAGAAACAACTCTTGAAACGCCACAAGAATCTCTATCACAACCCCAACTATGTTCCACCGACACCGAAAGAGAAAACGCATGAGTGCCCCGAATGCAAGAAGGCCTTCCGGCACAAAGGGAACCTAATCCGACATCTCGCCGTTCACGATCCCGATGCTTCGGCGCAAGAGAAGGAAGAGGCCATGCGCATCGGTCAACCAAAATTGCCCGGAGAGAAGAAAGACGGCGAAGAGGACGACTACGACGAGCTCCTCGACGATCCTGACGAGGAATTCTCCGACGAAGAAGACGAGGACGAGGATGAGTTCATGGAGGTCGACGGCTCGACGGTCGAGCACGCCATGGACTCTAGCGGGGCGACGTCCGTCACGCAGTCGGGCCAGTCCGGTCAGCCGGGTCAAAATCAAGTCGTGGTGCTTGAAGTCATCCACATGCCGAACAACGCCGACGGCACGCCCGGCGAGCAAGTTCAGCGGTTGACGACTGTGGACGCGAGCACTCAAGGTCGAGTACTGCAAACGTCCGACGGGAACACGCTCATCATCCAGCAGAACCAAGACGGAACCACCCAACTGCTACCTCAGGGAGAAATCATTCAGATGGAAGACGGTAGTGGAGCAACAGCCGAAGATCTCCTCGGCAAGGCGTCTCAAGAGATCAAGAGGATTGCTGCTGATAACGATAAGCAGAAAGATGTCGAGGAATGCTTCGGTTTCGGCAACGTGAGTAGACGGTCTCCCAAAGGGCAGCCGAGTTTCTTGGAATGAGTCATAACAATATGTCGAGCTAGCTCGATGGAGATTCGCATGGCCGTCAATGGGGAAAGCATTCATGATCCGGGACGTATGTAGAAGCGGCGTCGATTGCTGTAGCTTGTTGAATGATTCATGAATGATATATATAGTCGGAGAAGCTGGAAGGTGGATCGCCTTCGCGTGAATGAACGCCGCAGCAGAACCGGTGTCCTTCTACGAAGGTTGATAGCACAGAAATCTACCCTAAATACGGACGATATGCCAGCGGGTGGCAATCCGAGGGTTTCAGCCCGGAAGGGGTTTCCTAGTCGGATGCTAGCGGCGGGGCTATCGGGATGGGGGAGGAAGATGGGACTCTCGACGTCAGTTCAGAAAAAGCGGAATGTCGTTCAAATCGGGTAAAGAAAAGTCGTTGCGGCTCACTCGTCTCATTTCGATGCTCAAATTTTTCTCGTCTCAATTCAGGATGCCGATGAAGATGATGCCATCCTATCTTTGCCTGCGGGAGGTGGTAACCGCCAGGAAACCCTCGTTCAACAGGTTGGTGTTCGAGGAGGGAAAATTCTGAAGTTTTTGCAATCGCGGCTGAACTGCTCGGTCGCTCCTGTCTGAGTACCGGGGCGTCCTGCTCTCGGCTCGACCGTTTCTCACGCTGACTGCGATTCTATCTGTGTTCCAGGTCTCACAAGGTCAGATCCTACAGGATGCTGGAGGTCAGCAGTACATTCTCGTGCCTTCGTCGCAGGCTCTCTAGGAGTGAGCACCCCTATGAATGAAGGAGGATATCGAAGTTCTGTGGATGAGAATTCCGCATAGTACTTGTAAAAATATAACTTCGCCCGAGAGACTTAGCACTGCGAACGAAATGACACTTCGTGAAAGAATATCAACGTACACGATCGACAAGAAAACCTATGATAGCTCATGATACGAAAATTCATTGTCTCGGATTGCCTGCAACTCCTCCATCACTGTAGTATTAAGCGAAGAAGCGAAACGGGGATAGAATGCATGAATCAAATTACTAGCTCGGTTCCCTTGATCGCTCGTTTTCCTTGTTCGTCAGTCCCAAAAGTCGAGAAACGGCCGCAGAGAAGGAATATCACTTGGTTAATCTTCTGGTATACTACACTTAGCCAAGAAGAAGTGTTTCCCCCTGTACTCGACAATCATTCTCGGGATCGGATGATGATTGCGCAGGATCTTTCTCGAACGTAACACACGCTGAGTTTTGTGATCAAGGAGGGGAGGCTGGCCCTTTGATATGACACGATTGTTGATTCAGTTCATGTCATGTCTTCAGGAGACAATTACTGTGGTTCCCTCCTAGAATGAACAATGACCGACAGCCCGGAATGAGGCGAAAAATCATTGTGCCGCCGTTCTAGATCAGAGCGGACTAGGCGCATGGTATTTTGGCGGTGGAGAACTAGGTTATCGATGCTCACGTACCGTCTCCTACACTGAATTGTAAAATAAATTAATTACCCAATAAACATTTATACTCAGATTCATTCATTCTGGTCTACATGTATCTGGTGTACGAGGTCTCAAAATGAACATGCGCGTATTTACAATGGCTTTCGTGCGCGCAGTAGACCTTGGCAGATTTTCAAATCTCACCCAGAGACGGAATGTTCTTCTTCAACAGTACCTCCTGTTGGTGGATCCGGCCTACGCTAGTCTCGTCGGCTCTGAAAGAGTCCATCAATGACGAACTTGACCCGAACGGTTTCCTGAACAGCTGTAGAACACACCCGAATCTTTCCGACATCTCTAGCCTTACAGAATTTCCGGAATCCGAATGCCGCTGGAGGATCCCGGCGGGAGCATCGAGGCAGAGCGAGAATGTATCACTACCACGAAGTCGAGTAAGGCGAGTAGCTTGCGGAGCTCACCTAATTGAAGGACGACATCGAGTTCGCTCGGGAACATCATCATAAAAAAATAACGGCTCGAATTATTAGGCTATGACGTGAATCTCACAGCTCCAGTAATGACCGACGACGCGGATATATAGTCCGATTCCGATGTCTCTCCTTCCCCTCGCCCGTGGAAAAAGTCCACAGACGATCAGGGCAAGGAAACAAAAGCATCCCTGGGACTAAAATCTCATATCGAAAACGACCGACTAGTACGTTTCTGTGAGATTCGGTCAGCAGACAGACTGTGCTGTTACACCCCGCACCGGCAACGACTCCGACCATGAACCTCACCTATGACTCCCCAAAGTCTACTGTGAACAAGGGACTCCAGAGAAATTTTAGCGTCGCTGACCCCAACATTGCTCGATTTCCCCGTCAGGAAACGGCACATTATCAAATGAACCATGGATCGCAAGCCTTTAGCTCGACATCCGACGTCCGTTATCTCTCTTTCGAAGCGCGTCTGGGGAAGGTATTCCGCCGAATGCATGCGTCTGGAAGGAGACGACGTTGCGCGAACAGTCGAAGGCCAGAGGAACAAGAAAATAAATCGACTTTGGTTTAAGGGAGCAACCAGAAGTGCAAAGCGCACATGGATTGAAAGTCTGGGACTTTCTCTTTCGCTCAGTTTTCGAAATCGACCGGAACTCTTACAGAGATATTATCGCGAGGGAGCATTGTTCGAATCAGGGAGATGATATCTGTGGGAAGCGATCAGGGTGCGAAAATACTTCCCGGTTACCTAAACGAGGAAACGAGACGCGACCAGATCGATCCCAGATGAAAAATTGTAACTTTCGATTCTGGCCGTGTGCATAATGCGATCTGTTTGAAGACCCGTTACGGAGACGGCCTCCTGAAATCATGGAGTAGATCAGTGTGCTTGTAATCGATCCGGGGCAGCGGGAGAGACGGGTGGGTCTGGACCGTCTCGACGATCTTTGTCTCAAAATGCGACGCTGCCTTTTGTGGTTGAAGTTAACTTGCTAAGAACAACTGTACAATTGTCTAAGCCAGAATCTGCGGTCGCAGTGCTCTTCACTCGTCAGATGGCTCAAAATGTCGCGACGAATCTCCTAGGTCACCCAAGATTTTCATCAAGACAGATGACACTGCGCGGGCAATCCACTTCTCTAGTCATAGACCCTTATCAAAAGTCGCCAAAATAGGCGAGGCTAGGCTCGAGACGCCGCAATTCATCTGTAGGAAATCTCGAGGGTTGCGAGATTCTACCCCATCGCGAAACTTCCTGCAGGGAAAAACTGCAGCTTCGGTAATACGCTGTCCTGGTCTCGGTCAGACCTTTTCCGGCGAATTCCCGACTCGGGAAAGACTAGACTCGGGATGTCGCCGTTCAAGTCGACGGAAATCGAGCGGTACGAGGTCGCCTCCGCTGCAGTGACCGGATTCCGGCAGCTACGAGATTGCACCCGTAGTTCCCTGAAGGAAACTGTGCCGGATCAAACGGACAAGTTCCACCGGGAGAATTCAGAACTTTTCCGGAACATCGAACAATAACCATTGTTCCAATAGGGTTTAGGAAAAACGTTCCTGTCGCGCTCTTGCGCCTGTGTCGGATGCAGGAAAATCCAGTGGAGAAAAGAGGATCTCCGATGCATTCGGTCCGCTCTCCCGGGAACTGGCGGAGCAGACTCGCCGAAATCGCTTGGGCTCAATACAGCGAGCAGTCTGCAAGAATTCAACGGCATAAGACAGTTTCCAACCCCCTCACGCGGAGTCGTGAGCTTGGGTGCGAAACTGGCCCGACTCAAAGGACTCAAAGGGTATGACCGAAGATGTTATCCAGGACCAGTGTCAGAGTCGACTTATCACTTTGGCTCAGAAGCGAGTTTCCCCGTATCCAAAAGCGGCCGCAACCCCGTCTTCTGGGTCGTCTGGCCTAGCTAGCGAGGGAAAACGCAACTGCTCCCGACGCAATGACGTCAATGAATCGTGAACAAGCGACCGTATGTCGCCGTCGCCGGCCAGCTTCTAGGACATAGCGTGTCAGAAAAGTCATTGGATCATTCTTCCCTACGACGGGTCTCGAGACGCCGCTCCAAACTCCGTCGACTACGTCCCCTTGGACCTCTCACTGTCGGATGATGGGTTCCGAAATCGGATGCGCTCGGATCATGTGCGATGAACATGCGCCAGTGAGCGAGCTCGTCCGATTTTGGGGAACCCCAAAGCAAACTTTCGGCACCGACTGATCGAATTAGGCATCGACGGGCAGAGCAAAGATTTGAAGAAACCACTAATCACGCGTCCATGATAGTTTGCTGTAGGAACTGACAGACGGCGAGCTCCAACGGGCACCCCGAAGCGAGGCGTACTCTGACCCTGATGGCGTATCGCTGCCCACCCTCGGGGATAGACGGGTGCGATGATGACCCGACATGGAATTCATTTGAAGAACCAATCGACGCGCGAGCTGCTCGGCGGCGAGTTGGAACGTATCTCGATCTGCTTATCGATCCGTCGACGCCGAAGCGCAAGACGATTGATGGATCTGCGGGCTGAGAGGATCGAGATTCGTATCTCGGTCTCTCGATGCTCGAGCTCGTGGAAGAGTTTACAATTTTCGATGACTCTTCCTCGTACCCCATGAAAGCCGGATCTTCGCATACCGTATCGCCAAACAGAAAAGGAAACGGCAAGAGACGGCTTATCGTTCTGCCTCATCGTTGCGCTCTACGTCAGCCGACAAAGATCTTGAGGTCTGGCCGCCGTGAGCAAAACCATTTGCTTCTGAAAGTTGCCCCTCCTCCTCTCCAGATGGCCGAGAGGAGGATTCTGCTCTTCAAAAGACTGAGGGGTGATGGCGGGCGAGCTGAAGACCCGTGGACGAGCCATTATAGTTCTGTCAGCCTAACATGCTAAACTCTAGCACGATGCAGAACCAACAGACTTACTTGCAGCGGCTGTTTTCTATGAAAGACCCGCGAACGAAAGACTGGACTACGTTGACGGATGCGCGTTACATTGCAGCCCTCCTACTCGCGTACCTGTACATGGCCAAGATCTGGGGTCCCAGGTTCATGAAGGACCGCAAGCCCTACGAGCTCAGCCGACTCATCCAAGTGTACAACGTGTTCCAAGTGCTCGCCAACGTCTACTTCTGCTCGAGAATCGCCTACATCGCCTACGCCAAGCTCGGATACTCACCTTACTGCCAGGGGCTAAACTACGCGAACGACAAAGACTCGATCGCTCTGCTCGAGCATCTCTACTATTATCTCCTGGTCCGGATTGTCGATTTCGCGGACACGCTCTTTTTCGTGCTCAAGAAAAAGTTCACGCACATCACTCAGCTGCACGTGATCCATCATACGATTGTTGTGTTCTCGGGCTGGCAGTTCATGCAATTCGGAGCCGACGGACAATCAGTGCTCGGAGTGTGTCTCAATTCCACGATTCACGTCATCATGTACTCGTACTACTTCCTCGCTTCCCTCGGACCCCAAGTGCAGAAGTACCTCTCGTGGAAAAAGTACCTCACCACCATACAGATCGTGCAGTTCTTCATCATGATCGGCCACGGACTGATCCCGGCCTTCGTCGACTGCGGCTATCCGAGAATCCTGCTTTCTCTGGCACTCCCGCAAGTTTTCCTCATACTGGTGCTCTTCATCAACTTCTACGTCAAGTCCTACGTCGTGAAGAGCAAGCGTATGCCAGCACACGCAGTTGGCGGAGAGGGGGCTCCTCCGAAGAAGGTGCAATAGGTCGTTCCGCGAGTCGATGGGATGAGACATCTTCTGAAATGAGCTCGATCCGACGACGTTCCACCAGGAGTATTCCTCCTAGGAATCACTTCACTAGACACATACTCATTATTTCATCTTGAACGGATATCACTCTACGCATCAGAGGATTTCAAGCTCACAGTACTTTGTACCGTATATGGCGGGTCGCGTCAGCTCCACGCAGTGGAATCCGTAGCGATCCACAAGAACACTTTTTCTCATCTGAAATTCGGATACATCTGCATAATGTCACCGAGTTTCCCTCGAAACCTTGAACAGGGTCTCCCAAAGCAGTCAGGGACTCCCCGCGTGCATGTTCTCTACTTGTAGGAACTGGCCAAATGGGTGCGGTGTTGTTCTCGGATACGCTTCGTATCGAATTAGATAGCCTCGACGAGCAAGAAGCGAAAACAGAGCGGAGACCCGTTGGCGGAACGGCTCCGCCGTCGCCGGTGCTCGATGAGGACGTTCGGGGGAAGCTTTGATGGTGCCGTAGAATGCCCAGTAAACAATGAAAGCAAGCATGTAGTATTCCGCCGAAATCAGCAGCTCAAATGTGATTTATGGAGGAGGCCACCACTAGTTTGAGGTGGGCAGTCACGGAAATTCGGAATCGTTCCTCAATTCGGCCTCTACGGGAGAGACTCGAAGTGTGATGGGACTCGATCTCACAAAAGGAGTAAAATGTAGGCATTCTTTCTAGAAACACAATAGACGATGTTCGCTCGAAATAAACATTCTTCCGTCTTAGGATAGGTTTCTTCGATTGATCCAGCTTCGAAACAAAGGGAAGGATGCTCTCGACTCCTTGGCCAGGACGTGTTGAGTGCCCCCCAAGCTCACGCTCGCTCCAGAAATCGTCACTGCTGCATGCTCGTCATGCCTAGGGATCAGCTCCGACGTGAGAGAGATGTTTCGAAATTCCATGCCGCACGGGCTCCATTTACGTAAGCGTAGACGTAGTGGTCGCGTTCCTATTCAGATCCTCCTCGTCGGTTCATTTATGATGCCGCTAAACGAGGAGCGTTTGGCACCGGATTCGGGCAGATTCATGCGTTTTTCCCGGTTTGGCTACAGACGGACATGTTAGATGAAGTATCGTGTGTCACACGTACCGTCAGCATTCACCTCGCATTGCGTTCCAACGGGGCGCTCAGTCGCGCTTCCAGAACTACTGCGTCTGCCCAGACCAGCACGGCCGAGAGGAAACCGAAAAAGGATCTCGGAGCCTCCGTGGGAAATCTTAGCGTCGGGAGAGCGAGAAGCATCGGAATGGTCTATGCCAAGAGTTTCTTACGCCGCTATTATCTCAATTCCGCGTCTTGATCCGGTTCCCTTGACAATGACGGAAAGTGATGATGAGTCCAGGGATAAAGAGCATCTTGGCGCGACGCAGAAGGTTTGAAAAGGAGGAGCAAAACAATCCACAGCGCCCTCCTCTCAGCTCCCACGTGGTGGCAGAGAACGCGCGTTCGAAACCGCGCTATGATGACGAATTTGTGATATCCTTCAGGTTACTTGCACGGGTTTTTCGGGGAGGCTCGTACTCATCTTGAGATATCAACACCTCCAAAGAATCAGTGATGAAGCATCCGCTCGACTTTCATGTCGTTGCGAAATGTTCGACGACCAAAGCCAGGGTCGGTGAGTTCCAGGCCATCATGTCATTTCCGGAATGAGGGACTCGTCAGATCCTGCGTCGTGGTCCCGGTGTAATTAGGACGACCAGTCTGGGTCTCTCGGATCGTGCGGCGACCAGATCCGAAGTCATGAGAGAAGCTGTCACTTCGTCGTGATTGGCTCCATTTTCCAGCTGATCGATGACGTCCAGGCCGATCAACGTCCTAGTAGAAGGACCCTTGCATTCGCCCCGACTGTCATTACATGAATTCGACTTTTATGGATCGTAGGTATGAGTTTCGACAGAGATAAATGTGACTGACGATGCGAAAATCCTAGGGAGCCTCAAACTGCCGCATGCCACGGTCTCAACGCCGGTGTTCATGCCTGTGGGAACTCAGGGCACCCTCAAAGGTCTTCTGCCAGAGCAGATCGAAGAACAAAATTGTAACCTCATCCTCGCGAATACATATCATCTGGGGATGAGACCCGGAACCGAAGTTCTCAACAAGGCTCAAGGTCTGCACAACTTCATGCGGTGGAAAAACGCGCTGCTGACCGTGAGTTTCCATTTCTAGACTGGGCATGTTATGTATCAAGGACGATCAATGGTGAAAGGGAAGAAAAGAAAATCTATGGTTGCGATCGTCGAAACTCACAGCGAAGATTCGTCGTCATGACATGCAGGTAGACAGCGGGCATGATCGTAGGTACCTCGCGACATCCGCCGCGTATGGTGGTCTTAAATGGCTACGTTGATCGTCGGCTACATTTGGGTTGCTCAGAACGCTCGCTACTCAGCAGAGACCCCTCTTGGCAATTGGTCTGTCCGCTTCAGAAACATCTTAAGGTCGACACAGCTATTCTGATTTCCTCCGGCGCGGATTGGATTTTTAGCTTTCCCGCACGGAACCATCACAGTAACTTGGAAGAGCGTTCCGTAAAAGAACCTTGGCCCGCCTCTCTAATGTGACCAGTATTCTTAGCTTGCCTGCGCGACACAATGCCCGGCTTCCACATCATCAAGTGATCCGTTGGAACAATGTAGCACCTCACAGTTGCTCATCATACATACATATTATGTTTTCTGCATTACTTTTGATGCTTTTGGAAGCTTGCGGATCGCTGCTCCCTTTTCGGTCGCATGTTCAGGGTCCGGATGGGGGGATCGAGGCAGCGGCTCCAGCGTTAGTTTTCCCCGACGTCAAGGATGCCATCATGGATCGATCTAGAAGAAAAAGTCTTTCTTCTGTTCGTAGGACAGCGGAGGTTTCCAAATGGTGAGCCTCTTGAAATTCTCCGAGCTCACCGAGGAAGGGGTGAAGTTTGTGTCTCCGTATGATAAAAGGGAAATTCTGCTGACGCCCGAAAAATCGATGGAGATTCAGAATGCGATCGGAGCAGACATAATGATGCAGCTCGACGATGTTGTCAGCAGTTTGATCGACGACAGAGCCAGGGTAGAGCTCGCTATGGAGCGCAGCGTACGGTACGTTCTCTTGGGAAAAGCCTACGGGCCGGATGCGAGACGCGTTCCGGGTTACTTTTGAATTCACGTTCCACTTGTCACGTATGCTTCGGGACACCGGTAACGGTCCATTTCATGAAAGTTTTTGCTCTGGAAATGAATGTCTCGTTGCAGATGGTTGGATCGGAGTCTCGAAGCGCACCGAAACAAGGATAAGCAGAATCTGTACCCAATCGTGCAAGGCGGGCTCCATCCCGATTTAAGGAAGGTTTGCGCCGAAAGTAAGTTCGGCGTCATTCCCCAGCGCCGAAACGCATATAGGACAGTCACGAAGCGTGCCCTACACATCACGATTCCTCTCCCCGCAGAGTTGTTGGAGCGATACGTCGCTGGATACGCGATCGGGGGTCTCAGTGGAGGCGAATCGAAAGAGGATTTCTGGAGGATGGTCGACCTCTCAACGGACTATCTGCCTGATGAGAAACCTCGCTATCTCATGGGAGTCGGGTTCGCGGTAGATCTGGTCGTCTGCGCTGCGTTGGGGTGAGTTTTCCTGCTTCTCCCGTTACAAAATTCTCACGGGATGATGATGGAAACGTCGGCCTGCGGAGGATCGCTTGAGCACCCGGCAGAGTGACCCGTTCTAGGAATCGATCTCGCTCCTTCAGATGCGATCAATTCGATTGTGTTTACCCCACGCGGACGGCTCGCTTCGGGAGTGCTCTCGTCGAAGGCGGTCATGTCCTCCCTCTACACAGAAGCGTTTATGCGGAAGATTTTCGTCCGATCGAAGAAAACTGCCCCTGCAACACCTGCACAAACTACACGAGGGCTTTTCTCCATCATACAGTGAGAAGAGAGACCGTGGCATGTCACCTCGTGTCCGTTCACAACGTCAACTTCCAGGTAAAAGCTATTCGTCTCCATCAAATTCTAGGGCATTCGCTTCAATTTGTTGCAACGTCCGAGGACATCCGAGCTGTTCTGTTCTCTCCAGCATCTCGTTCAAAGGAGACTCTCGTCCTGAATCTAAATATTGCTCCCGCAGATGAGACTAATGTCTTCCATCCGCGAAGCCATCATAGAAGATCGATTTCCGCAGTTCATTCGGAAGTTCATGAAGAAAGCCTATCCCAATGGAATCTATCCCGCGTGGATCGTGGCAGCGCTGGCGAAGGTTAATGTGAATTTGTCTGCGGGAAGCACATAGACTCTCCCCCATGGGTCGACACGGGCCGCGTGTCAGAACTTGTATAAGCTTGATTTCGATGGAAACATTTCAAAGAACGCTCCCGATGGTAATATATAGTCTACAATAAACAAACACCCCTCACGACTATTCAAAGCCCTGCCATCGCGGACGGTTTTCCCCGTGAGCAAATTATAAGAAGTAACTCTCAAGTCGAGACGGGTCGGGTTTCCCCGAGGAACCATTGAAGTTCCCTCTCTAATGGTTCCCCGCAGAGGCCCTGAGGTAGCCTCGCATGTAATAACAGGCGAATCAACCACGGAGTGATGGGAGGATTGTGACCGACTCGGCAATTCTCACACCGATCGAATCTCGTCCGATGGTAGGGGCGCCTCGCGCCGAATCCTCTGACGCGGGCAGACCGGGAATAGGGAGCACCACAGAGCCCTCCCCTCTCCTCGGCCATGTCCGGAAGATAGGTTTCGGCACGACTTCCGTGTGATACTAAGCAGCGAGCAATGCTCGTTGACGATTTCCGAGCTGACAACGAGATTTCGCTTCCAATGAAGTCACGTCCAGTCCGGAATGGTTTTCCAGTATATACTTAGTTCCACGAGATCGCCAAATCTAGGACGGTGTTCCGAGAGAGAGAACGCAGCAGTGGAGACAAATCAGACATTGGCTGTTTTTATTTTTCGAGATTCCACAAGTAAAGAGACCTCGAAGGTTTCCGAGAATTAATATGGATCGTCGGTTTCGGGAACCTGTGAAGGATCGAAAGTTTCAGGGAAAGGAGGGCGTAGAAATATAAGAACCGTCTTGGATCACAACAATACTCCCCCACGGGGAGGGGACCCCTTTTGACCGAGCGTAGTCGAAGTTTCCATAAAAATAGATATCGGGTAAAAGTCGCGAAAACACACTTTAGACTTCATGGGAAAGGTGCGAGATAATTCCCTGACAGTTGCGGGTGATAGCCACGAATGCTCAGAAATCCAGAGATTATGAGAAAATCCAGTCTTTGGTCAATCCGATATTCCGTGGGGACTAGTTTCTGAGGATTTTGAATCTTTCGATATAATGGACGCGATTCCAAAGAATGAGGCCCGGAGAGCATTTCAAGAGCTCGACGAATAGCTCTGAAAGCCCCGGTATCGAGCTCGGCGTTGACTTCAGATTACAGATAGTACACTACAGCTACATATACCTAGAGAACACAGATTAATCCCTCGGAAAACTCTGAATCAGTCTCAGTAATCGTTTGCTTGCTGGGTCTCGGGCGCTGGCTTGTATTGGGCCCAGCGAGCGCTTTCCGGGTTTTGAAGAACTTCTGCCGACAATAAGGGTCGCCTTCACACAAACACAACGTGACAACATTGATATAACGGTGGAATCTGCGAAGCGTCCCACTACCGAGATCGAGTCTTCAAAGCGCAGATTGTGTTCTGACGATACGCATAGATGGACTGCTTGGTCGGTAGGATCGCTCACGGCCGGGGGGGCGGGCTGGCCGATGAAGCGCGGAAAGTCACATATGGAGGGGATGCCTGGCAACGCTGATTTCTCAGGATGGGCATAAAAGAAAACGCATCATCTCGAAGACTTTCGGCATATTCGTCTATTGATGCTGACGACATTTTAGAAATCATTGTGAAATTAGTAAATCTTCTACACTGAATGAGCTTTTTTTCTCCATCCACGAAAAGGGCAGAACTCATCCCAGCGAATTTCAGCTTTCTCACTATCAGCTCCAGAAAAAAACGTCAGCAACACAGTCAGTCGAAGCTTGAACTTGGGCTTGAGATCTTTGTGACCTGTTCTCGCAAGCCACTACGGTAGCCTTCGGAGGCGGTGAATTGTCGAGCTTGCACTCAAACGAAGCCTGCGGGTGATTCTTGTGGTTTTGGAACGCTTGATTTGGGAAGCAAACAGATGCATCCGACGAAGTGCGTTAGTGACTTGAGTCCAAACATCATCTACTCCATCGCCGTATCGGCGAAGTCTGTGCTCATCTCGTATCCACCTCCGCCGCCCATATCACCACCGTCGTAGTCTCCTCCGCCACCACCACCTCCTCCCCCGTAGGTTCCGTAGCCGCCGTAATGGTGTCCGCTGTTTCCGTGGTTTCCCATCATGTAACCGAGCAGGCCTCCGGTGGCAGCACCGGCGGCAAATCCTCCTAAGCCGGCACCGAGAGCATTACCCCCACCTCTGCTGGGGGCGGCCATGGGCGCAGCCATCGGAGCAGCGTAACCTACAAAATAGTTCAAGTCAGGAAGTCGGTCTCAACCGGTGGGAGCAAGTTCTCTATTTTGATTCGAAGCCTGGGATGCATAGTTTCCGGAACGGGTCGTTCTCCGCGGAGCTATTGAGCTCCGTTCAGCCTCCGGGCAATGGAATATCAGATTCGCTTCAGAGCAAGAATTGTCTTCTGGGCCGTCAAAACTGATTGCAGTTCAGAGCCTAATCTCACCTGGTTGTGCATAGCCTGGATTGAAGCCAGGCTGGGCGGGATAGGCCCCCCCACCGCCGTACAATCCTCCCTGTTGACCAGGGGGAGCTCCGATAACGACTCCCGAGGATTCGCTTCCGCGTCGACAAGCCTTAGCGATCGCGCAGACGATGACGACGGCAATGATGATCATGATGATCGGCACAATGTAGGAGAATGGGCTCTTCGAATGAGAGTCCGATGAATGGTACGGCGGCGTTAAATTCCTTCGGCTTCCAGAACCACTCGAACCTCCGCCTAGGGGGGAACGGAAAGTAAGTTTCTGATGTCTTCCATAATTTCAGATAAACATTGTCATTGGATAATATTCATCATTCGTGACCAGGAGATGCCTCATTCAATTCAGTAATGTTTATTAATCAGGGTATGGGGGTCCTTACTCGCTCGTCCACCTAGTCCATAATCCAAGACGCAACTTCCAGCGAGAATGTATTCGCGGTCTCCTTCGGTAAAGGCTTCGCATCGAACTCTCGTGTTCTCTAATTTTCTGCCTCTTTGAACGTTCGCCTCGCACTTCCAGCTCACAGTGGCCCCATCGGAACCTTTGTTCTCGCATTGTGCTGACGTCGGAAGTTCTCCGTAACAGCCGGTGATGCAACTGAAAAGCGAGGGTTGGATCCTTGACGTCTGACGGCTTTCGCACAGTCGTTTTCCGTAGATATTACATCGCTTGATACGTTTCGTAGCTCGACGGTGCTCAACACAAATTTGCCAGCACGAGATTCGGAGTAAGAGCTCCGGATGCCGAGCTCTGAACTCACAGATACGATTCTTCGAAGATTTCTGAGGCAATCAGACTGTGGGTTCGCTCCTGACTTTCTCGGAACTCACTTAAGTTGTTGAATGGGTGTTGTTCTCATTCGAGTGGCGAGTTTTCCGGCTTTAAACGTCAGGAACTTTATATCCTGGAGCTTTATCTTGAGACTCTCAGTCTGCGAAAGGGCCACGAGAATCGGTGAGCTCGTCGCGCTGTTGACGGGAATGATCACGGCGGTCGTCGGATGAGCATCTTCACCGTAAACGGTCGCTGACACAAGCAGCACGGATAATAAGAAGAACTCCATCGTCGGTCTCTGTGGAATCAATTCGAGGGTTAGTGACACACATAGGCACGATTGCGAGGAGATATCATGAGTTTCAGGGAATCTTTCTCGTGACATGACAGTAGGGAACATCCCTGATTTATCTGTCGGGTACTCCCGCTCGACCTGAAACGTCGGTCAGTTCGGATTGGGCTTCGCAAAGAATCGCGTATCCCATGAAAAACCGCGTTATTGACTGCGGTTGTCCGCGGTCGTCCACGGAGTCCCATGTTGAGGGAAAACCGCAGCAATGGTTGATAATCGCGGTCGCGAAGCCTAGCCTGGACCGCACTCCTTCGAATGAGGGGATATTCGATCATGTTCATCAATTATTATCCAGAGATCGGAGAGATTTGAGAATAGAGTCGGTGCAACGAGCCGCGAGTCGGAGAGTCATGCAGAGCCGTAGCCGAGACACTGCTTTCGAGCTTCTAACCGGAACGATCCGTTTTTCCATATTCAAAGATCGTCCACCGCAATAATGTGACCCGAAAATCATTCGCGTCGACGGAAATACCGTGGATTGGGCGTAGAAAGTTTCAAAGCGCCTCCCACATCCACGGGCGTCCGCTCACGATTGCTCCACTGTCAGATTCCAGCATGGGCACGCTTGGGACGGATCGAGGCGGATTCAACTTGATCAATGTCTCTGCTACTGACTTTCCGAGGTTCCGTCGTCGGCAGATAAGATAGATTCTCCGACTCCCGAAATGAGGGAGAATCTTTCAGGATAATTAATTCCACCACGAGGTAGATTTCACGGTTTTATGGAAGGCTCGCGGAAATCGAACGATGCGAAGAAAAATTGTCGAGCCACAAGCTCATCAGGCAGAGAGAGAACCAGAGTCCCGCACATGGATCGATTCAGAGACCTTGACATCGTGATCTCTCTGCGAAAACAGCTGACGGGGCGTCTCACGAAGCTCTCATTCGAAATCAAGCATATAGTCACTGAAAGACCGTCGTCACAAGCGTTTTGTGTCAAGCGACAACACTCTGATCTCGCCTCCCAGGGCATCTGGAACTCTGGCGTAATGAAGCCTGGAAGCAATACTCGTAATCTTCGAATGGAGCGTCTGTGACCGGCATATCATAGGGAGGATACTCAAAAGTTCCTTCACCAAGAGCCCCCGTGCCTCGATGTCATCCCTTCATAGCTTTCTTCCCAGCTTTCGGGGTCTTCTCTTCAACTTCCGGGACTTCCAGGAGCTGATTCCGTCTTTGGACACACTCCGTGTGGATCGCTCGAGTACAACACGCGAGCCCCCTCAATGGCCGAGGGTCTACGCACGCGGCGCTTGCGAGGCACAAAATAGGGCTGAGCAGAAAATCGACCGAAGACCGCAGACGATCTGACGCTTGTCATTTCCTAGCGTTGTCAGACGACGAGGAAGCGGCCCCCACTAACGCTCGAGTCCACCAGGAGCACCGAAGGTGTTGTCCTCCAAGCTACCTGTCGATAATGCTACCGGGAAGGCTTCATCGAAAATGCCTCGACCGGTGCCATTGCGACACAGAAGTCCATCGCGCGAGCAGAAAACGTGGTATCTCGGAGAAGGCGCAGGGAATTCAGTTCCGCGGGGTGGGCGGGAGGCCCCTATGACGCTTTCGGAAACGTTCTGCAGGTGCTATCGATGGACTCAATGAGGTCGGGATCAGGATCTGACTGAGACGACAGCTCCTGATCATCTCGGATCGAAACTCCAAAGAGCAGGAGCAAGCTCTGGGAGACACCGAGCCAGAAAACGCCTCAATGATTCGGTGAGTCGTGGCTTTACTGCCCTGGAGGCATCTCGTGTCACCCCTGTAATCTCCGCGGTCTTTTACATGCGACAGACTTACAGGTTCAATTTGGTCGTAACATTGCCGCGCACGACTTCCCAAGCCTTCACTCGCGTTGCCGCTCAAGAGAGACGGAACAACTCGTCGATGAAAAATTCGTTCGCTGCTCCGCTGATCCCGCATGCCTCCAATCAGCGAGATAAACGATATTTATCGGTGTGAGTTTCGTTTTGAATACCAATTTGCGCTCGGTATAGACGTATCTTCGAGTTTTCGCTGCCTACGAACGTTCACTGATACTCGGGGATTTTCCGCTGCTAGGGGTATGTTCGGCACATGTAGCTCACTCCCATGACTGAGTCTTGGTCTGAAAAAATGTGAGGAAGCTCGCCGCGAGCTCGGGTTGCGGATGCGTCAGGGTTGAGTCCGTAAAGGACAGTTGGTTTCTTCCCCCATATCCAAATAAAATTCCGGAAACATCCGTGGCTTCAGCTCTCCTGAGATCGCTCCGGTAGAACTTCGCGAAGAATCATTCCTGCCCAAGGAGCACGCAATCCTTGCATTGAATGTTCGAATTCTCAATTACAGAGGAAGAATGTTCCAGAAATGATTGACCCATGAGCTCCAAGGCGATAGATTTGGAGAGACCTCCGCCGCGAAAGGCCAGTGAACAGGTGCGACAATGAGTTGACACTTGACATCAATTTCAAAACTCAGAGCGGGTGTCAACACCACCGAGCATATCGACTTTTTCGACGCATGAGATGCACTGCATCATGCTGTAAATCAACCGGGAATTTCTCTCCATGATGACTCACTTTCGTATCCCACGTGAAAGCAGCCGGAAGCGATCGCAAGCATTCAGCGCGTGGCAGAGCTTTATCAAATGTCCCATTCGATAGGTTCGGCGCTTCCGGAATTCTCGAGGGATGCTCAGCGATCCAAAATATTCATAACTCCGCCAGAGAGAGAGAGAAGGCTGCGTCCCGACGAGCGCCCTCGATGTGCTTTCCGAGTTTCCGATGACACCGTTTGATCAACCGTCTAGCTGCTTCTCGAATGGCCGAGAATGCGCCCAGGAAGACCCTCAATCCGTACGCAAACACACCGATGGAACGGACGTTCCAGTGCGAGACGGACGACGGCACGTCGAGTTCCTCCCCCGACTGGACTGGTGCGCATTTCAGAGCGTGATCGTAGTTTCCAAGTGACCGAAAACGGGGTAGCCGTCTATCGATTCGGAGCTACGCCGAAACGAGACCGAACTGCGAGTCATCGAATATTTGGAAAGAACGCAGACAACGAGCACAGTTACTCACGTCCGATGTGACGACGAGTCGTTGAAGTTTCTAATTGTCAGACAACACCGAGAACGAGCTGAGCAGCTGTCCGTTCGTCGATTCTTCTTCTATGCTTCTAGCGAGAGCAGCGGCGCCATCAACAACAAAAGAGCCGAGCTGCGGTATACAGCGATACTGCGAACGTGCAGTCTCGACTCGAGACTGTTGCTACGGCAGATTCCGATTTTCTTATCTTCGAACGTCGCTCCGTCACCGTAGTCACACGTAAGCGGAAACTTAGCGTCTTCAAAATATCCAGGGCCAACCACAACACCACCGATTGGTTTCACTCGTTACCTCGTCGGCTACACGGTGGAAGCAACTGTTGCAGTTTATCCACCGGATCCGTTGGAGTGGATTCGAGTCTTTTCTATTGAATCTGTTTCACTTATGTCAGCTCGAAGAAGTCTGCCCGCTAAGTTATACTGACGTTTTTCGCCTCCTCCTTCTCCTCCTCTCATGAGAGATGTCCGTCGGTTGCGTCGGCACCAACGATCGTAATCGTGGCTGCAGTGGGTAGGCCACAACAGACCGACACCGATCGTCACAAGCGCAGTACAGGTCGCGATTGTCTCTCGAATGAGCTCCTAGGGTATGATCGGGCTCCACAAGTGAAAGGAACGACCGTCTCAATCACTACGGTGCGAAGCGCTGCCGCTGACTCACGAGCTCACTCACTCTCTAACACCGAAGTAACAGGAGACTACGCATGATGTTCTACCACCGAAACCCTCTCCCATTCTTCAATTTGTTCACTTGCGCATCGTATGGGACATTTAGTCTTCGGAGTCCCGCTACTTCACGACTCGGGGTCGGGTTCTGGCGGAAAACACCGGAAGATGCCTGGATCCCTTCGATGAATTCTTTTCGAGTATTTTAGAGACCGTCGCTCGAGAACGCTGATACCAGTACCGAGCGGGCGGCTCTGAGCGGGTGCGCGACCCCGTGCGGCGCAAGCCTGCGCCGGAGCTCTGTCGGGGCGGCGCAAGGTCTGAGCCGCGAGGACAGATCGATTCCTGCGAAGAGTGAGAGGCTTTCTCGGAACTTATAAAATTGTAAGAGAGCAGCTCGTGTTCTCCCGCTTCTGAAAGAGGGCAGCTGATATTGGACTATCTCGTGGCGGACAGTTTCTCACATCCATTCGGATGCGTCGGGGCGCATGACTAATCTTCTAAACTTCTGGAAGGAGTCAGAGTGATATCTTGTCCTTCGCTCCGCCTGCATTCAGATGACTCGACGACGAGCAACGTGTCTTTACTCGCTCCGGACACGTCGCCACAGAAGAGATCGAATTTTTCCTCCTAGTCGCTGCTCCACAGAACTATCGGAAGAATCTGCGGTTTCCGGGATTCAGGACATCGGTACCCCGGGCTTCTCTCGTTTTAATTTCCCGTTTGAAACCCCGAACTGTCGTCCTATGACAGAGTCCTCCTTAAGCAGTCAGAGCCATATTCGTCGAGTGGATTCTGGTGATATTCTATCAGCGTAGGTCACCGCGAAATCTCCTCTGATTCCTTGCGGCACGATCTCAAAGGCTCTACACTCCGCATCATACTTCTACTAAGCGAATGAATTCAGATCTTGAATTCCTTGATCTTTTAATCTTTCCTGAATTGGAATCTCTTTGATCCGAATTCGATGACTTCGCGGGAATCGCTGTGGCCCGTCTCGGCTGCCAGCGGTGGTCGTGCATGAAGGTAGCCGTGCCTGTGTCGGGACTTCGGGAAAGTCCCAGCTGACTGATCGGAGGGGAGCCATCGAAGTTGAACCTGACATAGGCGATTGTGCTAACCAATAAGAAAGGGAGCAACCCGACAACGCTCCTGATAAGACGCATGCAACCCGGCTTCCACCAAACTTGCGATCATTCGTCGCGACTTGGAGAGAGGTTTCCGGCCGAGCTAGGGTGAAGCAGGGTGAAGACATTTAAGCGAACCCCGAGATTTCACTGTTCATCTGAGCATCAATCCTTCCGCTGCTCTAATCCTCAGAATTGATAATTGGTCCTGGATACGATTGAGGGATGCCGCATCGGCTCAGAGAAGCACTCAATACTCACAAATAAAATTTGGATATCAAAATGTGCAATCCAAGCTTTAAAAAAGTCAAATATTATACAAGCGGATATTCGCTGAGACATGCGTTTCATGGGATTCCCGGCCCTAGCTACTATCCTGTCTGTCTGTTATTGACGCCGGCTGTATGGGTCGAGTCCGGTATCCGCCGATCAGTTCCAGTTAGCGTATAGTTGACAACCTCACCGATCAAGCAAGAATCAGCAGCTGAAGTCGATACGATATGTTCTCAGGAGTAAAGGCGCTCTCTACATTGTTGTGAGCTGAGATTCTCGAGAAGAATCTCAAATTTCCGATGCGCACACCCGGGAGAAATCAAGCGACGTGAATATTCACCGACGGATGGAGCGAGCGGATAGATTGGCCCTGGTGGCGAATTCACGCGAAACTCAGCGAGCCGTCGAGGCTCTCGATAACAATGGTGAAAATATCTTTTCGCAGATCGGAGAGGCCAAGATCAGTAGCAACGATCAGGGGGAACAAGCAATAGCGAAACAGCCGGAGAGATGATCCAAGGAGCTCGAGTCAGCGAAAGCTGAAGTCGCCGAACACCTTGCTTAGGTGGACGAACTCGACAAACCCGAACGGATTTTCATGGTCAAAGTTGAAGATCTCAACATTGGACCCGACTCCACCTTATTCGAGGTTGCCGAGCTTGACAAGGAAAACATCATCGCAGAAAAGGATGGGGAGCAGAGATGTTGGGAGCAAGTATACAGTCGATGGACTCTCCCGTCGTTCCGATTGAACCGTACTATGATCTCAGTACTCCTGATGCTCCTTCTCGTGAGCGAAGCGTCGCGTCGCTTGCATTTGAGAAGTCAAACGATGTTTCAAATCTCTCAGAATTCTGGGTTTACCGAGGAAGGAAACACTCGGGCAATATTCGGGATATTAATGAGGAGACCCACCTCATCTTCGGCGAGACAATGGGAGGAGAAACACTTGGCTTCGTAGACCATGGATTCACAAAGGATCGTTCGAGGGAAGCTATCAAGGATTTGGCACAAAGAGAGCAAGAGCCCTCGGCAGCTCAGACTTCCAGCAAAAATCATCGCGGTCATTAATTTCTATCTCCCGTCGACACGGATTCTTCGACATTTTCTTGAATTTGATCCAATCCTCTCGTTCGGGACAATTTCCATTATTACACAGGTTCAGCTGAATCGTGTTCCAATTCTCTTGCTTGAAGAATACTTGAGACTCTCGTCGTTCGGTACAATCTGATTCTGATTCCGTCATACGCCTCTGGACAAACGAGCTCCATGCGAAAGTGTTTGGCATTAAGACATAGACGATGCTCAGGGATACCTCGATTCGAATGCAAAGCATAGTATCGATCATGGCAGCCTACTCGTTGATCCATACCACTACTCAAGGCGCGCGATGCGATGCTCGGATGACCGCCTCGAGTCAACTAGAGAGAGTTCCGCGCACGGCTCTCGCCACAACAGAGTCGTTTTCTGCATCTAGTCCCAACTCGATGTTTTGAAAGGAGGATATTTTTCTTCGAACTGGAGTGACACTGATTCGCAGATGGTTTCTCTGGACGACAGTGAGACGATCTGGAAAATGAGGAATTTTTCAGCCTGATCAAGGATATAGCTTTTAAGAATGCGCTTACAAAATTTGTGATTAAGGCGGCAGGAACCTCAGTATTTTTTCCGTGAGTGAGATTTCCTTTTCCAAGTCTTTTTTTAACCGAAAGAAAATACGTATGCTGGCAAGCTCAAGAATACACCGATGACAGCGTACGAAATGTTCATCTCGATCGAGAGATCAATCTCCATGCATCATGCTCGTCGCTGCACTCGGAAGCAAGTTCAACGATATCAGTCGCCGAGGGAATGATAGCAACTATTCTGACAGCTGCCGTTGACATCCGAGTGATTTTTTGGAAATATGAATATTCTATGAGCCTCATGACGGCTTCTCTTCGTCAAGGTCCTCGGGTGGAAAGCTCCGCGAGTTTTTTCTCATAAGAGCTCATTCAGAGCTGAACCGGATCTATGCCGGAGGAATCCTCTTCGGCTTGTTATCTGCCGGGTGTGAACTCTGATCGACGGAACTGGCACTCATGGAATGTTGGTGCTCGATGGTGTCTCATCTCGTTCCTCCTTTACAGACCATGTCCGCGATCACCGAAGTGAATCGAATCTTCGGCATAAAAAATACTCACGTTCTTGAGCTCTCCGCGACCGTACTCAAAATAATCGTGAGTGAAGTTCGATGAACAATAATTGACTATGAAGATGCAATATAGTACGATTTCCTTGACGGCCCCCGGGATTATTCTCCGCCCAAGGTCAACGATGCGTGGATTCAATCCATGGTCGACACCGGTCGAATACCGACAACCTGTCCTCCTCTCACTCTGCCCGACACGGAAATAAGTGCTCTCCTGCACCAACCCGAAGATCAGCTGCCGTCAGGATTCACATTTATCCAGGTACGAGTCCATCGGATTCGAAGAGAAACACCCGGGCTCAAAATAATTCCCTGGGATATCTTTCGCTTTGCGACATGTCGTTGGAGGGAATCGCCACGAATTCCGCCTTCATTGTAGTTCCCTATAAACAGGTCGACCTGGCGCGTAAGCGAGGAGATTTGCTCGTACCGAGGGTACCGTTGAACACGCAGGAGCAATCGACAGCGACCTCGAAGAGCATCTACGAAATCTTGAAAATTGTGAATGAGACCAACTTCCAGAATTTGTGGACCGATATTGGAGACGAGTCAGGCGACAAAGAACAACATTCCGTGAATGATTTCCAGGTGGGCCGAGTACTATTGAACAATCTCAATGGAAAAAAAATGAAGCGACTCTTGTCGGCGTTTCGCGTAATAAGTAACCCGGACTTGGTTTTAACGAAGTCGTCTCCCCTCATTCTCCAGACTTTTGATGAGAGATTACGCGTGATCCTGGACAAGATGTATAACTGCAGAGTGATAACCTCCTGTGATAATCCGAAAATTTCATCGAAAGCACAAGATGCTAGGAATCGTGAGTCCCGAATCACCATCGTCCTCGGCCTCGAAAGCATTGAATGTGTGGTCGGCGTGGATTATGTCGCTTCGATCTCTGAAGTCGCTCCGCTTTCCAGCCGTTACCGCGCACCCAGGTGTCGCGCCTGTAAGGGTTATCGTGGAGACTGCTACCCACTTTGTGCTGCTGTCGTCGTCCTACCCGCACTCTTTGATGCACTTGCCGAGATTCTCCCCAGCGGTTCTCCACAAGTCGCCTTCACGAGGCTTGTTCATCCTCTTCCAATTGGCAGAGCTCATCTCTTTCCTGAGGAACTCAGATTTCGATTTCCGTGATTTGACACTAGAGGATTTTCGAATCACCGAAGCCTACTGGATAATGGTGAGAGTCGAACTTCCGGTACTTATCAAACGTCCCTATGCGGTCGATGATGAGAGGGAATAGAATATCCGTGTCGCGTCACTCGGGCTGTATTTTCAAACTCCCGCTTTCAGCTGTGTCCTCGCTGGCATTCCTCGTTGATGAAGTCGGTCATCTCGTCGTCGGAGCACGCAGACGGGAAGACCAGAGGCTCCTGCGGAGCAGGTTCGAGTGAATCCCCTCTGAACATGTCACTCGCAGAAGCTTCAAACGCTTGGGTAGATGGGAAAATGAAAACATTCGACTACCTCGTCCTTCTAAACAAAGTGAGTCAGAGGACGCTCCTCGAATAGGATAAGTTGCAGATTCTCGTGCTCACGCCGCGAATGGGCGCCCAGCGGATGTCGCTGCATCGGCTCCTGCAAATGAACCGTTTTTCAGTTGAGCGGTCGCCGAACAGACAACCCTCATTATCATCCCGTTTTCCCGTGGGTGTCGGACTTGTCCCAGGCGGATGGAACCAATTTCCGTGATCTCTCTAAAACCAAGTTCAGATTGACTCGTGGCGATCGTCAGCTCGACGTCATGTACGAAAGCGCACTGAGCATAGCTCAGAATCCCGACTCGATTCAGCTGCCCCTGATGGAAAAAGCCGTCCAGGTTCCGCACCATATATCTGAGATTTTATCTGATATCACCTACTACGTCTACAAGGTTCGTGATCCCTTCTTCCCCAGTTTTTCCAGTTCCCCCGATTTTTCCCCGTTAGCCCCTAAGAGATGAATTCGTCCGGATTATCTGACCGTGACGTGACTTTTTCAGGCTCGACGTTTCAGTCGAGAAACGCTTTGCACGCACGTTCGCCAGAAGTGGGTTCCGGCGGAATACCCGGTTTCCATTCAGCGTTTACAGGAATGGTCGCCGAACGAGTGCATTGCCGAGTTTTTCACCGATGCCTCAATTTTCCGATCAATCCATCCCGATTTACCGGATCTTGAAGTTCCCAGCTGGGCAGATAGTCCGGAGGATTTTGTTGAGAAGCACATGAAGATGCTCGAGAGTGATTACGTTGCGGAACATCTCCATCACTGGATAGATATCACGTTCGGCTACAAGGTAGGCAGGTCCCGTACTCTGACTTCCATGAGTCATGACCAGCACTTCGAATGTGCAGCATATATTCGAATATGATCAAAACACATAATATCAGGGTGAATAATACTCATTCCGACTCATGACTCCAGCTAACAGGCGCCCCAGCTATCAAAAACAAGAATGTCAGCTTGCCTCTCGTCGATAATCATACAACCTTAATGGACTCGGGGGTGACACAGCTTTTCACCATGCCTCATCCCCCGCGCAGGAGGCTCCACGCTGTTAGGATTCCGAAGGTGAGCGAATTCCTCGACGGGTGTCGAGTGCATGCTCACGAAGGATAACTATTGAGCTGGGCAATAGACGACTGGAGCCACGTTTCGTTTGGATAATTTTCAGTTTTCGACCTCTACGGTGCTTCGGAATCCTTCTTTGTGGCATCATCGACGAGGACGATCAGTCCATGGCAGACAGACTGAAAGAGACGACGATGGCGCTACCGAAGAAGCCACGGAGCAGCCGTCTGGTTTGAATCGACGACTTTTCAGGTACGTCGGACTGGATCCTTCCTCGTGACTTTGAGTTGAGCGAATAAATGATTCCTAGGAATCGGCCGGTGTTCGGTATCTGTCAGAAGTCATACACGGCCTACTTCCGCTTTCCAGAACGTCGCGATCGGTGACACGCGAACCCCAAACTAGTCGACCGGAATCTCTGCCGATTCATATGCCGAAAGAGTTTCAAGCGTTCACTCTCTTAGGCCAACTTGAGGCTCAGTTCCTCTTCAACCAGAAGCAACTCATAAACACCCAGGGAATTGGCTACATCAAGACAAAGTGAGCTCATCGCATAATCTAACCAGTATTTGAGGGAGGAGTCGTCTGCGTTTTTTTCTCCCGAGACAGAATCGCTCACTCATGGTTCCTTGGCAATCTTTAGATCCCATCGAGCTGTCGAGAGGAAGGTCCTGGAAGAAGATACCCTCTTGTTGGGTTGTCTTCTCGCGGAACTCTGCTTGGCGTCCGTCTATTCGGCCCAATCTTCCGGGTTGCCTCTGTATGAAAGGACTGAGTTTCTGCGGAAAGCCGTGCAATGTTCCAACGTACCGAGGTAGCGCCAGGAGATGCCTAGAATCCAGATCGGTGAACGAAACGAAGCTGTCGACTGAAATCTACAAGCGGCTGTTCCTCCATTCTCCGCAGGTATCTGCGAAGCATCATAACTACGCTACTACCTCCCCAAGGAGTTTTCGCCCCAGTTTCTCATCATGGATTGCCTCCACCGTTCCCCGAGATGATTCTCCTGCCTCAATTTCCATACGCGAGATTCCCACCCGCGTTTCGCTATCTCTACCACTTCGTGGCAACGACCGACCCACAGAGCGAGAAGGTCGCAGACCAGAGTCATGTACGTCAGACCTGCATTCTAGCTCTCCAGCGGATCGGAAGTATTCACTTCAGACAATTCGCGGAGTTCCACGCTCGCGATCTCCAGTCGAGCCAATGGGCCCAATAGGATTGCCCAATTGCTCCGATTTGTCTTTTCCAGATTTCACGGATCTCGCGACACCTACCTTCTCTACTGAATTCACTCAATCGGGAGTCAATCGATTTGGCGTTAACATGCTTAGCTCCACTGATGCGTCGGCCCGAATCGAACGTCATGGCTCTATGGCATCTCTTCGAGCCCCTGGCTCGCGCACTCGGCCCCAAGGACGCCGTCGACGCTTTCCTCAAGGATCTCGTCAGGGCGTTCGACCCAGAAGTACGTTCTTCGTATGCGGGAACCGTGTCTCCCATGGAGTATACTCTCATACACTCGCAAGCAAACGAGAGTTTCAACTGACGGGTTACTTTGCGTTCCCAGGTAGCCACAGCAAAGCACATCAAGCTGTACCACCGATCGTTTCTCCTCCAGCTGATGGTCCGACTTGGTCTCCAGTCGTTTCTACAGCACTTCGCTACGGTCCTCGTCGAGGCAGTGGGCGGGTACAGGGACTTTGAGCACGACATTGACTTAATTCTACCTTTTGCTTCTCGAGGCAGCGGCAACGCGAGCCAGGGCAATCCCCAACCCCAGTCCGCGCTGCTCTCTGCACAGCACGCCGGCAGCACTCCACATAGGTAGGTAGATCCGGTGGAGGGCACATGATGCAACGTATTTGTGAAGCCAAGCTATAGAGGACTCTGTCACGACTGGGGATCCTCGGACCGATCAACGCTTCTCTCTTATATAGTAACAATTCGAGAGCGAGTCGAAACCCGTTTCCGATTATTCGGAGCGATTCGAGGGGGAATAACTAATCCGAACCAATGATTCTGCCAGATGCAAGTTGAGCAAGAAGCAGTCGCACTTGGATTCGACCGAGCTCGAGGAGCTCGAATCTACGCTGGCCTCGGTGCGTTCGGTACATTCGGACAAAACTGTTTCGGAGAAGAAAGCGGAATCGCCTCCCGTGTCGGATCAGCAGGTCGAGGATGTGGCGGACCAAGAGATGTTCCTCTTCGATGCCGAGGAAAGCGACCTCACCAACAGCCAGGGTATTCAGATCGACGGAAACGACCCGAACGAGCTCAAACGTCGATTACATTAAAATCACAATGAGCAGACGGAGCCGGAAAGCATTCTCCTGAAGCGGGTTGAATCAATCGTTCCAGAGAGCAATTATACGAGTCGGCCTCGCTCATCGACGGCGCAGACGCTCGTCGAAGAACCTCTTCAGACCAGCGACCCTCTTCCGAACATGCCACCGTGCGGAGCATCCGCCCCGACCACGAGCGGTTTCAAGCGAGCGATTGCCCTCAAAGGTGAGAATCCGGATTCGGCGGGCCAGCTCCGGGGAGAGCCCAGGAGGAAGGCTCCGGTCATTAGGAATCCATTTTGTTTTTTTGGTTCCAGATATCAATTCCAGCTCGTACAATATCAGTGACGTGGCATCCGAGAGCATAGTCTGGCTAGCGCACAGACTCGGCCCTGTCCTCACGGCAAGACACCTGACGAGGAACTTGCTCAGGATGCTCACGCTCTGCTACTCGGGACGAGAGCAAATGGACTTCACAGAAGCGCTCTACAAAGAAAACAGTGACTACGGTAAGCGACTCCGGGCCTCACGATCGGCGGAAGCCGCCGTCTAGCCCGTTTTAGCGGTCCCCCTAAGATGCCAATCGAGCTCAATTCATTTCCAGTGGTGAACTTATCGCAAACGTATGTCCTCGGCGATGTGGCTGCCATGAAAGCGTACTCGACTCTGTGCGACATCGCTTTCCTCTACGGCGAGCACTTCATAACTTCACAATACATGCAGCATGTCGCGGATCTCGTCGAGCTCTGCAAAAAACATATGACGGAAACCCTCGAAGCTTCGCTGCTTGGGGGCATAACTCTCTTAAAACATGTGATTCCTCTTCTGACGGATTCCACTCTGATGAATCACCTTCAGGTGAGGAATTTCAGAGAGGAGGGCCGATGACGGGGCGGAAGTGTGCGAGAACAGGGGGAAATTCTCACCGTTCACCTCGCAATCATTGTGTGTTTCATCAGACGAGAGAATTTCACCGACCGGGACTCGGGCAGCTGATCGAATTTCTCTCCTGCAGACTACGATTATCCGAAATATAATCTATCCTTCGATCCAACTGGTTTCGTCCCTCCATCACGTGTTCCCGAATGGCTCTTACTCGAGAAGACTCATCGCATACCGACTCGCCGACGTCCTCCATTTGATTTCGTTGCGGATCGGTTTCGAGATGTCGCGCCAACATCTGTCGACTGTTCTCCGGAGGTTCGTCTCCTCTTAAATTCGATTCTCGATAATTCCAGAAACCGGAATCGAATTCCCTCTCAGAACTAGTACTTTTCCTCCAGATTTTTCGTGTCCTTCGAGAGGGCGTTTTGTGACGAAGGAAGCCTGGAGTCAGTGGAACATCTAACACCGTTGAGCAAAAGTTTTGAGAAATGCGCAGGTGCGCAAAGTTTCAACCAAAGCATGGACGACTACCTTGATATCAAGAAAGACTCACCAAGTCAGGAATACAGGATTGGGACCCCAGTGAAAATATCATCCGTGCTCGTCAGTCGGGCATTGCCATTCCAGCCTTCTCCGCCGTTGGACAGCCAATGTGAGAAATTATTCGAGGAAATACATCGAACCTTCCCCTTGAAATTCCTGAGCTTCTTAGTCGTGATTTCGGCCCAGTCGGGAAACTCAAAGGATCCTTACCCAACAATCCACAGCCTGCACTGTACAGCAGCGAGCGCTGGAGGAGATTCGCGCAGTTTTCGATGCTGAAATGGCGCACATAACCTACATCCCATTCTGTAAACAAATTGGGGGAATCTACATGGCCGAGACCATCCTCGGAGCCAACAACGAGCTCGTACGCACCCTCTGCCTGCGCGAAGATGAATCGGAACCGGGCTCTAGCGGCTCGGTGGGAGGAAACCTAGGCCACAAGAGAAACCCGAGTCAAGGTGAGCCATGTCTCGGGAGTTCCCACTTCGTACGACTAAATTGAGGAATCAAAGAATACGGAAGGTCGCCGAATCACATGAGAGAGTTGGGAACCTCAATTTTGGGGAGCAAATAAATCTCACGGGTGGCTGCCTTGCAGGTCAAGATGAAATTTTCGTATCGAGCGAGTTCGGGAAGAACGTGGCCATCATGGGCAATCGGATCGATGTTCAAGCGGACCCGGGTCTTCTCGATGAGGATCCATCGAAAAAATCAGCACAACCCAGTACTTCGAATCTCAACCAAGCCACGGCCGGAGGTCCTCTCAGTGTCGGTCGTTACGACATGAACCTCTTGAGGAGAAAAATGGCAAACACCCAACGGCATCTGAAGGGAAATTGGCTCACATATTGGGAGCACGAAGTCGGCCAAGATCCGAAGAACACTTCGAATTTATATTTCAAACAGATCAAGTTACAATCGTTCGCGGGACACACTGCGGGCATCCGTCAGATAACCGCGTTGGACAACGAGAATTCCTTCCTCTCGGCGTCTAAGGACAGAACTGTCAAGCTGTGGTCGCTTCGGAACTCTGGCAGCGACCTCGTTCCGTGCAGTTCTCAGTGGACCTATGCGCAGCACAAGAGAAGTGTTTTCGCTGTACACTTCCTGGATTCTCATAGAGTGGTCGGCTCGTGTGACGGCTCGGTCCACATATGGGATCCGTTCTTGGGCTCTACGATCAGCGTCTTCGACCAGACGCGTTATCCGGCCATGACAGCCTTCGCCGTTCTGAGCGCACCGTCAAACTGCTTCCTCGCTTCGACCGTGACGGGTCTCATCAAAGTACTGGATGCGAGATGTGAGAAATACCAGCACGACTTCAAGACCTCACTCGGTGGGTTCCTATGATGGCCGTCTTCCAGTGCCGGATCATAGAACACATTTGTTATTCTGGAAAGTCTCTTCGGGCTCGTTGAGCGGCCCGGGAGTCACCGAGGAATTCCCCTGTGTCGATCAGAGGGATGCACGCGGGCCTCCGGGGGCAAATGCGGACGGCGCTTCTGACCGGAATTTCCATCGCAGGTGGATCGGGGAGCATCAGGTGCATTACGGCCGGAGTCGACAATCAGTGGGTGGCCATAGGACACTCATCGGGCATGGTGAGTGTCCTCGACTTGCGAACAGGCATCTTGATGGGAACTTGGAGCGGTCACGAGGGCGAAATCCTGCAGATAAAGGTAAGGTTGATTTTCTTCCTCCTGTTGAACAAAATGAGAATTTTCATCTTCTTCTTGCGTTTTGACGATGGACCGTTGGAACCACTGTCATAGATGGTGCAAATCCGTCTAAACCTAACTTGTCATTTCCCCCGATTCCAGAGTCTATCTGGAGGTCTTTTCGCAACATCCGGGTTGGATCAGACCGTTTCCGTGTGGAGCGCCGAAGAAGCTAAACTTCGATGCCATTTGAAAGGGATCGCAGACTCGACCGTTTGTATTGCGAGCCATCAACGGGAGATCGTCACCGGAACGACGTCGAATAGAGTTACAATCTATTCATCCATCGAAGAACCGCAAAGTGCGACCGGCGTGAAATTGAGAAGCGATTCATTCAAGGGAATGCTCACCAGCATCGCGATTCTGCCGTTGAACAGGTTACTCCTCATGGGCTCAGACAACGGGTCCATAAGTTTGTACTGTTAGCAGACTTCTCGAGACAAGGCTTCAAAACCCGGCCCTCTGCGAGCATAAGAAGAACACGTTTCATTTTTAAGAAATGGAGCGAGCGTATCTGTGATAATAATGAATCGAGTGTATATAAATGACGAAATGCAGAATACTCCCCGCTTGTACTGTAGATAAAGGGCGAGGGTTGGGAATCGTGAGGAATTGACGAGAGTTCAAGTACTCGATGCAAGCTGCCTCCTAGATCAGAGCTGCCTCCGCCATGGATGCAGTTTCACCACCGAAGCATTCATCCCGTGGGTACGGCGCCCCTACCTGTACGGTCCATACAAGTGCTAAAAAAGTACGGATCTTTTTTCTCCGAAAATGAGGTTATCCTTACAGATCTCATCGAGATAAACGATATTCAATGCCAAACTAGCCTTCGTTCCACGGTTGGGAATGAAGGGCTACGCTGTCATGAGATTCCGTTCACCTCGGTGAGCTGTACGAGGACAATCTACTCCCTCGAAAAAAGAATCCGATATTTCAAGTCACTGACGTGAGATTTTTCGAAAAGCTCATCCGTAAGAGACAGAGGGGTTACCGAGAGCTCGTATTGAATTTTATCCATCCCGATGAGATATACATGAAGAAAAACCCCCACTTTTCTCGTCGCTGACGTAAGCTTTTTTTTTCTGGGAGATGCCTTGGAAATGGAGGACTAGTCTGCTATTGAATTTCGCGAAACTTGATGAAACCCAAACCCTCTACTTCCAACGGACATCCCGGAAAAATTATCACGTCAGTGTCGCGAGAAGTGAGAGCTTTTTTCTAAGGGATGTGGGTTCCCCGCGTAGGTCTCATCGAAAGAGACGAAATTTAACGCCAAAGCGGCCCACTATCTCCAGGGGATCCCCCGGAGAGGAATGTCACGTCAGTGACCTGAGAAGCAGGATTTTTGCTTCTCAGGCAAGTAGCTTGTCCACGTATATCTCATCAAGATCAACAGAATGCAATGCCAGAGCACCCCTCTATTCCCCACCGCTTTCCCGGAGATCGATGGAAACCGTACTAACTGAGTGGGGAAATCATCGTTTCACAGGGAAACGGTTGAAACTAGAGGGCTGATTCGGCATTAAGCATAGTTTATCTCGATGGAATCTGTAAGGATAACCTCCTTTCCGGAGAAGAAAATTCCGTACTTCTTGCGTACATGTACGGTTCCAAACTCTGTACGGTACGGTTTTCAGATGCGAAAGTGCCTCTCATTTCACCACGGGAATGACGGAGTTCAATGATTATTTTTTTAAGCGTCCAGCAGCGTAGTTAGAGAAGTTTCCGCGTCAGAAACGCTATGCCGTTGGAAAATACCCGCTGCAACGGATCCAATTCTGATCTAGAACGGCATGATCCAACAGACGGGCGAGCTCCACTGAACGGGGACTCTACGAGATGCTTAAAAGGAGGAGGCAAGGAGGCTCTCGCGGCTCCTATCTCTCCTTCCTTCTTTTCCACGAGTCCCATCTCTCTTGACGAAAGAGTCAAGATTTCCGGTGCTCTCTAATCTATTCATTCAAACATTGATGGCCCGAGGGGAGAAGCTCAGTGCCGAAAGATGACGTCGATCCCTTTCGGAGCCCTCCCTCAAAATTGACAAACCCTGAGTGTGCGGAGCCTATGCCTTTATAAACCTATGCCGCTTTGTGAAGGGCTCCCCAAGAAAAGTGTGGCTGCTCCTCGGGGAGCCGGGGATCCCAGGTCGGGAACCGCTGCCTTATTGAGTCGCTTTTCCCAAACGTCTCATGACCGGGAACCCTCAGTCATTCGGTTGTGCTCTTCCTTCTCTCCCCGCATTCAGAAAACTCCCTGAATGCATCACCTTGCGATCAATGCTACGATAAATCTCGACTCGGGTGGAACGCGTATCGTAACTCTTCAAACTGACTCTCAACATCACATGATTGTGAAGGCTCATCATACGCGTTTCCGACGGTCTGTGGCGCCTCCCATCGCGTTTAAGGACATTTTTTTGTCGCGAGGTCTCCGTCCCTCATATATCGAATGCTCTTCATCGATGGCTCTATCCTTTCTCGCGCGAAAAAAATATCACTTCGCGCTGAGTATGATCAACCGAAAGCGAAGCAGTCGAGTGAATCGAATCAGGTCAACATCGCTCGAGTGAGCTTTGCATCAGGAATTTCAGAAGAACTTCCCCGAGTAACTGTTCTCAACTCCACGATCATTCGTCACGCATTGGTGGGTCGGCCGACGAAGCGGGAGACACCGCCGAAACTGACCGCTCGATTGCCACCTGTGATTATTAAAGCGCAATTCAAACAAATGACCGGGGATTATCCCGGGACCACATTCACCTAATCGAATGTAGCGAGGACCTCTCGCAAACCGTGCAAGAATTGGTTCAGATGAGTTCCCCGAGCGATGCCCCCAGCTTACTCTAGGAATTCTCCGTGCCCGGGTCGACTCGGACGAGCTCAGAGGAGAGAGAAACCCGGACAAGACAGATTCGGACCGCCTCCGAAGTTTCCCACCGCAACGGATCCCGATGGATCTGAATGCTTCTTGAGCCGACTCTGACAAATGATGTTGTTTTGCCCATCAATCAAGTCGACGATGTGATTAACATGTATCTATACTTCAGAACCATCAAAAATGTCAGGACGACGCTTTCGAGGCCATCGCCCTCGACCTGATTCTTGTCATGCAAAACATGCGAAACTATTGAGCTTCTCTCTGGGGGTTGCCAGCTTCCCCCATTTGAAGCCGAGTCTCGAAGCCAGCAGAGCTGAGCACCAGGACTCCGGGACAGATGTTGCCGCATCAGCCTCAAAAATCTGAAAGCTATCCCTTTCACGAGTGTTGGAAAACAGCATCCAAATTCAAGACTTCCGGTCCTGCCTGAATCTTACCACAAAACAAATCGGTCGGTGCATCACGGAAAAGTCCCCGGTACCATGTGATGGATTCCCGGTCCCGGGGAGGAGCTCAAGTTGTTTTCCACGAACCTATGTAGGCACATTTCGACGGGATCAGGGAGCGCAGGATCATGCGCATGGTGGCGAGTTTTCGAGAGCTTCTCCCGCAGTGGATTGCTCTGGATTGCTCGGCTCCGTTTGGAAACTCGCATTTAAGCCTTCATCCATGTTACTCCCATCTCCGGAGCCGTTGTCGCATGTTTCGGAGAGCAGAGATCCCTCGGCAGTTATCCGCATGCTCGCTCAGCGTTCAGCCGTGGTTTTCACTCGATCGTCGCGGTCAAGCATCTGAATCGAGAATATTCCTCCCGCATGCAGGGCCACCCTTTGGAAAATTCATCATGAATAATTTTAGACAAGCAGAGCGAGGATTCGGACGTATCGTATTCATTCGGTCGAATTCATTCAGCACGAGCACATCCTTCAAGTCTCAGAACTCGAGCCGCCTAGTAATGGAAACAAGCACCGTGAAGGATCGACTTTACCACATACTTCATCACCTACATACCTGATTTTGGGATATTTTACTTCCTCCCGCTTGGATTTCCGCAGAGGATGGAACGCGGGGTTGGACCACGTCAGGGAGAAGACGAATTCGCGTGTCATTTTTCTCGTCTGATATGAATCTACGGATATCGTACTTTTCCGCGAACGTCGGCTCAAACTTCAACCCAGAGGCCCGAATGTCCGATCTCGGATCCTCATCGAGACAGCAGAAAATAAAAAAGGTTATCTGTGATTCTTGCCGAAACTTCGCTTCTTTCGGAGATCTTCGAGCCAGCTCATAGACAAAGTCGCTGTATCCCGGTTGACGCTGCAGAGGAAACTATTCTTGATGTCTCGTGGAAATCCCGCCTATCGCGAGACGGAAAGATCACGGTCAAGTTTTGTTCTGTGGTCAGGGACTGGACTGAGTGAATGAACGGAGAGGTCTGCTGGAATCCCGCTGTCGGTTTCCAGCCGAGTGCTCAGTTCAGCGATCGTTCCGTGAGATACTTGAACTTTGCGCCGTAACTTTTAGGGCGCTATGCTCCTCATGACGGACATCGAGTGACTTTATTGCAGGCCTCGTATCGCACCGAGAGCCTCTTGTGATCTCCACGCCGGATAGCTGAAAGCGACGTCATTACCGCGACCTCACCACGATTCTTCTAAGAACTCAAAAGGGCAAAGTCTGGGGGCGATATCAGGCTTCCACGTAGCTCCGAATAGCGCGGGACATTGTGAATATTTTGACAGAAGGGCATTCCTATATATTTTAGAGCCTGCGAGACACGCCCGTTCCGCGGAGACGGACCGTGTGATCGAGGGTAACCATCTATTCCCCTAAACTCGCGGGGAAGGATGGGTCGAAGCTGCCCGTATCACTGCCCAGTGCGGCAGGAATCTTCAATCGACAGTCTCTTCAGACAAAAAACCCAACTCTCTCCTCGGCGCCAGGATTTCCGTCCGAGAATTTACCCGTCGATTGGAGACTGCCCGTTCCATTTTCCAATTTCTCGAAAGATGTCTGTCTATTGGAGAGTGTCCGCATATTCGGGACTGCCCTTCAATTTTGATACTTACAGTATACGCTATCTATCAAATGGAAATCCTCCGGATAGATGTAAGATCATTCTGAGGGGAAGAACCGGATAAGCGGACATCGTGAAGTTAAGCTGATGGCGCCTACGCCGCGCCGCGGCTCCCAATCACAAGACTTGCTACCAGAATCCCCGGCGTAGCTCCTGCTGCTTCTGTAGGGTCACCGCGGCGAAGGGATGTCGAGACCTTGCGGGGAGCAACAGGGTGGCAAGGGCTCGACCCTAAGAACGTTTCTGTAAGGGTACGGATAAGACGGTGAACTTGAGCGATGAATTCATCGGTCTAGGGGTTCAATAATTTCTGCCGACCGCCATCTCGGATATTCGTAGAGTAGTGAAGTTGACGCATCGCTCCGAGTCGCGAGGAACACCGCTGTATTGACGCGTCCTTCAACTGCCACGTTCTCAGCTTAAGAGCGTCTCTGGTCAATCCCTCGGCGGCGTCGACTGTTACGCGTCTCAATAATAATTAGCCTCGATGACTGAGCCAGAACAGTCTTTACGGGAGTGAACGGTCCAGTAATGTCGCCTGTGAGTAAAAAGAAGCTCGGATGACTTCTTTTGACGTCCCAACGCTTCGATCTGAAGCGTCTGTGGGCAAGCCCCGTCCCGTCTTACGGGGTGCATTATACCACTCATGAAGCGTTTCCTCAAGAACAAGGAAGCGACCACTCAGCGAGAGGAACTTGAATTTGAATTTCGGATCCTCAGAGGAGAGAATTTCCTCTGAATTTCCTCTCCAGCCTATCCCAGGCATATACAGAATTGGATGAGAAGCGATTCGAGACTCGCGGAATCTCTGGATGAGAATAATCCGGCGCTCCTCAAGACCTAGATTTCGGATACCGCGAATGCTGCAGTTCCGGATCTCGCAGATCAGGCGCGTGTATTCCTCATGTCTCAATCAGCGGAGTATCTGAGAACCGTTACTGATATTCCAGATACACGAGACTAATTTTCACAGCAAGAAGATGCCCGCACCGCTGCACACCGATGATCAGGCGCGTAGGTGTCGGTCGGCGAAGAGATTATATCAAACTAGGAGCGCTTCGCTGAAATTCTGATCGATACGATAATCATTTATCAATTGGCGGAACCGATCGCCCCCGACCACTCAACGACACTCGTGGCTATCAGTTAAAATGAAGTCGATGATCGGATATAGTTTCCGAGATGCTCTTCCCCTAATCTTAGTCGAGTACTCCCGTCTCTGTATTGAATTCCCTCGGAGTTTTTCCAATCCAATCACGAGGGAATAATCCAAATCAATCGATTCGCATCGATTCCCCCGGTGTCGATTCTCAGAGAATGAGCGAAGATTGCACAAACCATCTGCAACCACCTTCCGAGACTCCCGGGCTCCCCTCCAATTAGAATTCTATCTTGAGCTCTGGATGCTGGGATCTGAGGGTCTGTTTACCGCTTGTAAGTCTTCGTGACCGGCCCTTGTCGTGTCTCGTTGGGATGGGAGTCGATCCAGGTACCGGGGAAGGAATGGTTGGGAACTAGATGTGTTGGGTACCTTTCTTAGGTAGGTGAGACCAAATCGGCTGAATCGGCGTATGCTAGGGGAGACGAAGGCCCTTCCAAGGTCCTGAGGATTTATTCTAATTGATTCCTTCTTCCCCCCCTCCCTCCCCCCTCCCACCTCGAAAAAACCGTGCCTGGTGTTCCATTGATAAGTCACTCGGGGCAGGAAAATCCGATTGAGGTAACTCCGAGCTCATGTCGTGCGCGGGATGCTCTGGCTCGGGGAATGGGACGAGATCCTGTCAGGGAAAGGGTGCGACGGGCGAGCCGAATTTCGGCCTCGCCATTGGCGGGTGTCGGAGTATCAAGTTGGGAACGAATCCGTGAAAAATCGAGGTCGGCAGGAAGTCACTGACTCAGAGGATTCCTGCGCTCCAATAGTCCCCCACACGGCTGAGCTATCACCAGACAATTTACAGACTATTCAGACAGTCTGAAAATGATTATTGAATTATGATTATGAAAATTGATTATTGGGCAGACTCAAGCGGAGAGATCCGCCCGGGAAGGAACTCCGGGGGAGTCGTTTTCCCCGCGTCCGGAGAAGGAGTCGATCCTCTGGTCGCGACGACTCAGGAAAGGTGTCTCGTACTCGTCGAGAAGACGAAGATGTTTGCTATCGCCTCAGAAACTCCGAGCTCGCTACCATTCCAGAGGTATGCCGATACGATAAAGTTTGTCGGAAGGAGCGCGGTAAGAATAGAAGGCTTGAGGAATCGGATACGAAAAACAGAATGATCGCATTTTTAGAGCGGAGAGTGAGGATAGCAGGATAATCCAGACCGATCCGGCTGACACCATCGAGACTAGGGGAAATTCCCGCCGCGGGAGCATCAGTGCATGCGATTCCTCGTCCGTGGGAGCTTCAGAGGAGGGCCTGATGCCCAGAACACATGGCGATGGAATCCGTCATCCGCGTTGAGCCCGACAGACGAGATTCAGGGACTGTAAGCTCGAGTGTGGACCCCGCTCCGAGTTGAGTACAACACATCGCTCCGGAATCGTCAACGAAGAGCCTAGTAGGGGGCGCCACCTATTCCACTCCCTGGAGGGACCCGTCTGCTTCTTTGTCAACATTATCAAGATACAAAACCTCGTAAGAGCACGAAAACCCCAATAACAAACGAGAGAGGTGTTCGGTGGAGGCGCAGTGGGAAACAATCGGCCGAACAAGAATTAACGGATCGGTGATTTGCTCGAAATCGGCTCCGGGCCGACCTCCTGACAGCTGCTGCTAACCAAGTGCTCGCGAAAGAGTTAGTCTAGTAATCATTCAGATGATTACGGCGGCGGCGACGACGACGACGAGCAAGGCTCTCCCGTGCGATGGTGGAGGAACTTCTCCACGAGTCAGCAGCTAGCGGCATCATCGGCAGGGAGTCGTTCGGCCACAGCCGTCGCAGCCGCAGCAGCAGAAATAGTAGTCCCAGCGGCAGCCTTCTCTCCCAGTGACCGACAGACAAGACCGCGGTGCCGTCACTTCACCGGCGACGGAGCACCAGCGTCTTCTGCTCCGTTTCCTTAGTTTCATTCTGTCCGGAGTGAATGTGTGCCGGAATCATCGTCGCCTGAAATCCGTTCGCCTCCCTTGTTCAGTGTTGCTTCTCTCTATTCATCGGCCCACCAGCAATTCGTTCGCCCGCCTTGGAAACCGACCAGCCGCCTACCCGCCTGCCCGCCCGCTCGCCTAGAAGCCCCCCTGCTCCGAATCACCTAATCAGCTGACCGAACAGCCGACCAACCCGCCAACAAGCCAGCCGAACAGACGAACGGTGCTCCAAATCATCTACTTATCTGTCAGCCAGTCATCCGAGTGCCAAAAGTCCACACTTGTGGTGTACCCGCTCGAGAACTCTCCACCGTGGAAGAAAGCCCTCGCAGTCACTCAATCCGTCAATCAGACTGTCGGACCTACAGACAGAGAGTTTTTCACTCTTTCACTCACTCTTTCACTCGACCGGACGGACCGACAGATGGAGTGACTATCGGACGGACAGCAGGACCTACGGACCGAGCGACAGACAGACAGACAGACAGACGGGCTTTCCACAATCCGACAGTCTTTCTCTGCTGACAGCAGCCCCTTGCCCCTCCTGCTAAGCTGCCACTGAACCGCCCGCCCCCTGCGTTCGCCACTTGGTGCGCGAAAAGCGTTTCCACCACCTTCGCCGTACGACTTCATCTTAAGCGAATCAGCGGCCGCCGGCGCTATCTTTCGCTACGCTTCGTGTGAAACAGCCGAGCACCTGTTAAAGAGAAGTGCATACGATCGAGAAAGGACGTTTCGATAGGCTGTGATCCTCTCCTCCGAAGTGGATACTTTGACTTACATCGGTCATTATAGCCATTCGTTCATCAAGCTGAGGGAAGAGACGCGTCTACTGCTCGACCGAGACCGGCTACCCCCGACACAACAGCGCAATAGCGGATCAACGAATCATCGTTACCCGTGCGGGAAGGAAAGAAAAGGATCTTTCGTTCACCGGTTTTTGTGGTGTAGAAAACGACGGCAACGGCAGGCCCTGATAATGTGGCTTAAAATAGCAGGTGCGTGTGGGGTATTGGCAGGGGCGGCGGCATCACAGGCTACATTAGGCCAAATGGCTCTTTTAATGTTGACCTATTACGCGGCTACAGGGGGCTGGAGGTTTCTGTGGATCGTCTGGGTCACCGGATGGCGCGATCTGAGGTAAGTTCCAGTAGGGACCGCTAGCTGTAGATCTACGCATGGTGTTCTCATCGGTAGATCACTTATGTATGTTCATAAATTCAGTCAGTCCGTCAGTCAGTCAGTGAGGCCGACGGTCAGTCAGCTAGTCAGTCAGTGACTTGTTCATTCGTTCGCCCGTTCTGGGAGTTAGCACAAGTTACCATTAATGGAGCAGGACCATTCGGCAGTCAGCTCGGCAACCAGCTTGCCGCCGAGTCGGCCATAAGTGTGTCAGTGGTGCCGAAACCTCCTCTCCGCTTCGACTAAACGGCTTTTCATCGTGGATGCTATTTAATTTTTTCTTCACTATTCTGGAAAAAGAAAAAATTCCGTTCCTTGAGTCGATTCAGAGTTTCTGAGGACTTGTGATCCGATATCGACGGGGGCCACACCGAACGCCAAGTGAGCCACCGACTCGGGTCACGGACCTGAGGCCGAAACCAGGAATCGACTGACTGCTGGTCAGATACGCCCTCCAAATCTCGAAATCTATCGTGCTAAACAGAAAGACTGGCGAGTTAGAACGCGGTCTGCGCACCGCATCGTTTGCGAGAGCTCCCGAGATATCCGAGTCATGACAGCTGAGGAAGCGGAATACGATGAAACCGTGTCGGTGTCTCGATGACCTCACGGGAACAATCACGAACCGTTAACTCCAGATTACGACCGGCTGACGATTGAGATCGGACTCCCCTGATGAGAGCAATCGTCTATCGATCGAAAGGAATGTTGTTTTGTTTTTTCACCATTCATTGGGTTGCAGGCCCAAGAATCAACTGTCTGCGAGCGCGGCGAAGAGTTGAGATTTCGACCCATTTTCTGCTTTGGTCTTCGCTCGGATTTCGCTCCACTGCGCGGCGACGGCGGCAGAAAATTCGCACACGTTGCGACTGCGACGGTGCTTGTGACCAGCATTCCCCGGCCGCCTCAGCCGTTGTCTGAATATCTGATTTTTTCCCCGGGTTTCGTCCGTGTTTAGGATCGATTTTTCTCTCGAATGTTCGGCTTCTCGGAGCCATTCTTTAATACGTTTACCGGCCGCTCGCTTCATTCCGTTCTTAGCTCGGTGTGACGTTCTTGCGTCCACGTCGCTAATCGAATTCGAGAGCACGCTCGTGGAAATTCCAAAACTTCGGGCGGAGTACGTTCCGATCTGCGCATTGTCGACGTCGCGTCGGAACCGTGATCTGTCGGCAGACCCATCGATTGACTCGTCAAATTAAATTTTTCTTCCGCTTTTCCTCTTCTCCTTGACCGATCGTGGGGACGTCCAACGCCTCGTTTCTGCGTGAGATGAGTGTATTTCTGTGCTGCGGACGGAAATCCGGTCAAATTGCCTGACGTCAGCCGAAATCTGTTTATTTATTTCCGTCGTTCGTTCCGAGACAATTCGCGGCGACCGCGACGGTCGTCCAACAGGCGTCGGTGTCTTCCGAGTCGATATTCTGGCGTATCAGAATCCGACGGAGAAAACTTGAGAACTACGTCAGCGGTCCGGGGAGTACCTCCGGGCATAACAGAATTCCAACATCCAATCTGAGTTCACGGAATATTCTTGGACGATCTGGACTTTCTCGACTCAGAAGTTTCAATCGTTCGCGGTGAGGCGGCGAACTCTGATTCGTCGAGACAGGCTCCGGGACATCGTACTCCGCTCCGATTGAGCTTGAAGAAATCTCTGTTGATTTCTCTGAAATCTCGATCCTTCTCCTCTGTTCTTTTTGGATCCTGATTCTTATCTGTAGCTCGCTCATGGCGGGTTTCTCTATTCGGTTGACGCCTCACATCGCAGACGAACATGCATACAACTTCACGACATCAAGGACGTCATTAAGCAGAGCCATTGTGAAGACGCCGCAAGAGGCCGACCTGAGCGTTTTCCGGGTCTGAGCGGTGAGATCCTCAGGCTGAGCGATACTAATTATTATTATTATCGTCCCTGCCGTTCTCCGAGGTTTTTTCTCCCGAACGTTCCGATGGAGAATTTGTTCTGGATGGACATTCTGCCAGCTTTATCGCAGCGCACGTTGGCACGAACCCTCAGCGGGATATCTCGATATGCAGATCCGAGCGCTGCAAGTTCCGCTGCTAGTAATTTCCTGTCAATTCATTCACCTAGTGAATCCTATCCGCTCGTGTCGGTATCGTATGTCGCTCGTCAGAATCTGAAATGGATTTCCGAACTTCTGCCATTCAGAGCTGATGGCTTCTTTGACAGGCGCATCAGGAAATGGGATAACTGTGGTCTGGCCGAAACCCTACGCTTTTCCGTCATGTGAGACAAGCCGACGGCAGTAGCTCAAGGCTGTTTCTCGTCTTCACTATTGTAGCTGCCTTGACCCGAAGCTAAGTTTGTCGCTGCAGCGACGGCGTCAAGTGACAAAACTCGAGTCACCGAGACCACTCGGCAGACCGCGACTTCGACAAGTTGTGTACGACGCGAAGCAAGAGCCGTCCTGTTTCCTTTGGGTCCGACGAAGGCGACGGGATGATCCGTACCTGGCTCAAGCCGTAGAGCTGAACAATCTCGAACGAGAGAGGAATAATTTCAGTCAGGCCGGACGCCGCTGCATCGGTCCGCAAGATTGAGATCCCGGTGTCCGTATCGTTTTTCCGAATGACTCTGCGGAGAGAGTTCACGAGCCGAAATCGCTCGAGCGGTTGTCCGATCTACCCCAGAATACTTCGCGAGCGTCAATCTTGAGAAACTCCGCTTGACGAGAAGACGTCCTCTTTCACGCTGCAAATCCAAATGCGATCCCGTGTACGACCCCATGACGTTGATCGTCGCGACGCGGCGGCGGCCATAAAATCGCTTCCGAAACGAATATTGCAGCGGGAGGAGATTGTTGTAGCCGGGAGGAGCACAGATCAACAGGTAGCCGTGCGAGAACTACTCACTTGGCATTCAATTTCCTTCCCGGAAACACTTTACGCGCGATTCATTCCTCGTTAGATCCGATCCTCTCGAGCCGTTTCACGCCGGTCAGGCGGGGTATTCAGTCGACATCAAGCATTTGAAGGGGTAGACGACTTGAGTTCTTCACCTTGGAGTCATGAGGGGTCGTGAACCTCGTTCTCAAGATCAATAAGGAGAAAATGTTCGTCAAAGATTGCACAGCGGCTGACAAGTTTCTCGTCGTTAGCAGACGCGTTGTTCTCGCCTACGTTTTCTTCTTGTGAATATACTCATCATCGGATCCGATACTGATCGTTTATTCCATCTGTGACCCAGATGGTTGTTCGGGCTTTGCTGTTTTCTATGACGCGGTCTTCGTGCGGGAGTGCGACATCAGCCTTGGGGTGGGTTTCCGGAGAAGCGGCGACTAGTGAAGAAGAAAGTGCAGTTGTTGTCTCGTCAATCGAGCGTTAGAAAGTCCGAGCGTGAAACAGATTTGCCGGGATAAAAAGTCGCCTCCTCCTCCTAGCAGATTATTATTGCCGTGTTCTGATTCGAATGTTTTCCTCGAATCACCACTCCATCGGAGATTTCCGTTTCCCGCCTCGTTACCTAAGATTCCAAGCTCATCCTGCCCGACAGTGATCTATATACATTGTTCCCGAGGTCTACCGACCCGCTGCTCAAAAGATATCGTGCATCGATGTAAGTCGCAGATGATGCCAAAAATGTTTTCTTCTGGACATGTCGTCTTTCTTGTGGCCTTCGACTCTCGGTTCTGAAGCTCCGTCAGAGTCGAGCACCTTGAACTTTGTCTTCGGCACCCTAGGTCACCAAGTCATGAAGGACAGCGTGCTTCCGTCGGATCATGGGGTCGATAGCCCCGACTTGACCGAATTCGTCTGCACCGAAGAGGATCCACGCTGTGTCTGAACGAGAGCGTCTCCAGGGATTCGCTCATTTCCGAACATGGAAATATTATCGGAAAGTCCGCGTACATTCTCGCGGTTTCGTAAACAGCTGCATGAGCTTCACCCACGATCGCCGCGCATCCAGACAAATATGTTTGCATACCGTGAATACTCTAATGGACGCGGAGGCTCCGATATACGGACAGTCTCTACAGAGCGGGCTCTTTTGAGGGTCGAAATTCAGTTTTGGTCCGTTCCTCCGTAAAGGAATGATCGAATCCTGGACGCGTGGTGCCACGCTCCCGATCGATCTCTCAACTCCGGAGAGCTCTCTAGATAATGAAGCTCGAACTCAAAGTCCAGCGTGCTTTTTGCCTCCTGCTCATCATCTGCGACCGTCTGAGCCACGGACGCCTTGTGATGGCTGCTATTCAGGTGTATCGCTCACAAATCTTCGTGGTGCAAGCGTCTAAATTAGGAAACAGATCACAACCATCTATTTGACAATCCGTTGGAATTCTCGCAGACCAATCTCGATTGGCTATTCCCAGATGATAAGGGACGACAGCGCCGGCTTGTCGAACAAAAATCGGCCCCTTTGGGAAGCGTAGAATCTGATCATTCATAATGCTTATGTACGGGCGTACGTCGCTCCTCCCAGCGTCGAGGACTTGATCGAACTAATTATTTCATTCTTGATGAAAATATAGCTAGGCCAGCTGGCGACCACCGTTTCCAGCCAGGCTCCCGTGCTCGTTGCCATTGATGCTTAGCCAATTTGGATGGCGGGATTGCGGCAGCTTATGGTTCGGGTGAGGGCGCCGCCAATCGAACTAACCAGGTTTCGCTGGATGTTGTCATAATGGTATCATAACAGGCTCACGATACGGCGCGTATGCGACTTCGCTCCTGCAACTTGGTCGGAACATATTTTCTGAGGTCATGCCCTATACTGACTACGAGCGACCGACACAAGGCGGCCGGATACTTTTAATAATAACGGAAAGTCTGTCGATTTGGAGATTCTTCCGACATAGACGCTCGCCGTATGCCATGACGCGAGGAGACCTTTACGTTGAGGGGTGTAACCTTCCGTGGTCGGGATCGGGACTCCGGCAGACGGGCATCTGGGAATCGGGCATTTTGCAGTAAGGCATCTGCGGCTGCAA